AACCTACAATATTATCTTCAGAGTGTAATGATATGTTATACTGTGCATGGATTAGTGCAGGCCATCACGGAGTACAAAGTGTAGAATTACAATCAGTCCACTATTTAGATGAGGCTGCTTATAATTGTAGAGAGGGCGTAGACTTGTACTGGCTAAGTAGATAGTTCCATAATTTGATTCCTAACTCTTCTCCTTTGATGATAATGTTTTGTGAGCTTACACGCCCTTATGCGAGGGGTTATGTATGGTAATGAGCCCCTCACCCCCACCTCACTCCCTATCAAATGATGCTGCTGTTTATCCCGTTTCCAGAAAATAATTTGCATGCCACACTCGAGGGAAAACATGGTCCACTTCCTAACGCTTTTCGTCTTCTTCCTCTGATGGATTTTCTCTCCCTCACTTCTCCCTAATTGACATCAGTTTACTTGGATATGCAAATATAGGTTTATGAGTAATCAGAGCTGTCATTTAATCCACACGTGACTGGAATCTCTTTGGTGATTCCAGCAAACTGTGCAATGATTGCCTCGGATATCAGGGCTGTGTTAGATGGCCGTCATTTAGGCAGCATCTTCCCAGGGTTGTTTATTTGTGTTCATTTGAAAGAAAAAAAAAGTCTTACCCAGAGAGGATATCCCTGGCTCTCCCAGCTTCCATTTGTTTGAAATCGGAGAGTCTCACTGGAAGCGATGACAGAGGTGTTTTATCATGTTCTGTTGAAATATGGAGCGTTCTGTTTTTTGCCAGATCTCGTCTTGCTATTTGGATCACATACAAAATCAGATGAACTTGTCCAGGTTTCAATCAAGCACTGCAATTTTCAAGCTGATTTTAATATATTTACGCTCATTGAACATTATTACATGTTGTCACTAGGCAACCGCAACCTTTATTGGGATTTTATGTAATAGACGAGCACAACGTAACAATGATTGTGAAGAGGAAGGAAAATGAAACTTTTCTAATAAAATTTTAATTTCTGCAGAGCATCCATATTCAGCTGACTGAGTTGGTATTTTGGAGAATAAGGTTTTACTGCAGATAGGGGTCGAATTCTTTTGTCATGCGTTTCCAACATCTTTGCAAGATTTCAGAAATTTAAATATTTACCTAATCTTCTTTCCAAATTGAAAAAGCTCAATCACAGCGGATAAAAAATTAATTCTTGCCAAACATTCTCAGACCATTTTTAAAGCTTAGATTTTAATCTTTCCTTTGTAGCTCTGGCTTTATGTTTAAGAGGTCATTGTCCAACTGAAAGGTGAATCTCTGCTTTAGTTTTTTTCTTTTGCAGCTTCCTGATGTTGTCCTGGCTTACCTATTTGCTAAAGAAACCCATCCCTTTAGCAAGATGCTAATGCCACCGTGTTTCACTGTAAGGATGTGATATTTGGTGTGTGTTCTCTGCCATGCCAAATACATTCTTTATATTTAGGTCAAGCCTTGCTCTTTTCTGACCAAGATGCCTTTCCTCGCACATCTGCTGTTTTCCTCAGTCTTCATAATGCTTTGTTCACCAGTGTTCATCAACAATCCTATGAGGTATTTACAGAACTGCTTGTTTTACATTAGGATAGAAATACACTCAGTATTTCTCCCTTCACAGATTAAGGGACTTTTGAAGGCAATTGACTGCACAAATTTTATTTAAGGAACTAAGAATAAAGAAGTCAGAATGGAAACCTGTTTTATCAGAAATTCATCTGTAAGATAATTTTGAACATTTTGTATAATTTTTATTCTACTTAATATTTAGGCATTGTGTTGGTTTATTTTAACAAATCTAAAATATATAATGAAATTTCTCTTATGTGATCAGATTTCAAAACATACATCAGCTAGAAACTGTAATTTGACTGTTACCACTGCTGCAGAGTGGCTGGTCTGCTATTACTATTCAACACAGATTAATCCCACCTCCCTTTTGATTGCTCTGTTGTTTTCTATCTTTCTAGGCACCTTTTGTGTTTTAGTGGGGCTGGAATGAATGCTGTTGTCTGTGTTCTGCTGTCGGCCAATGGCTCACATTTGTTAGGTTTTTGTTGGGGATGACTAAATGCACTGTGGACATGCGTGTGAAAATGGACAACAAAAATGACAGCATTGAATTAAACAAGTGACAGACACAATTTCATGCTCTCTATGCCACACAGAAAATGGACTGCTAAATAGTCCACATACATCAAATCAATGCATCTTTTTTGCATAATTAGCAACATGCAAACGAAATTAGCGTAAAAAATACTTAAATAAATATGAACACAAAATTGATAAGGAATTTTGTCTCATATTTTGTTCACCAGTTTAGGTGACTTCCTCCCTGTACATCAACTCAACATTCCCATGAATCAGTCCCAATATTTGATATTATTATGACATTTCCTCACTTAGTTTTTTTACCCTTTATTAAAGTCTTCCTGTCACATAGACTGAACTTTCAGATCTTGGTAAATAATATTCTTTGGTGCGGACATAAAGGGCAGTGAAACTCCACCCAAATGACGAAGTATATTATTAGCCAACATGACATCTAAGATATTTTGCAACTGCAATGCTGTACATTAATATTGCATTGACTTCTGATTCTTACATATGAAGCAAATTTTTCCCACCGATTATATCTACTTCAGAAAAGGTCTGATGAAAGTCAATCACTGTCCTCTTTTGCTCTGCCATGACAAACTCACCCACTGGGTCATGTCTGCAAGTTTGTAGTAAACAATAGTCACCCCACTGTTGACAACTCAGCAACTTTCTTGTTATATTAAGCGACATTTCAGACAAATAAATCAGCTAAAATTGAAATGTGCAGGTAAGGTTTTTTTTTAAAGATCGGTCATCTGTGATTGGCCAGAAAACTGCAATAGGTGAATCCCCAGTTTAAACAATTTAGTTTGTATTTATTTAATTATTTGCTTAAATGAAAGCAAATAAAATATTTGCAATAGAAATGTGACTTTCAACTATCCTGCTGGTCAATGAATCTCAACAACTGGAGTTTTAAAATATTTACTGCCTTAACATCTTGAACTGACTGACATCTTGTTCTGAAAGAATCCGTTGCGTAAAAGACACACTTTTATTTCCTGTGTGGGAGTAAGATGTATAAAACGGCTTGGAGTCCAACGGCAACAAAAGCAGAAAGACTTTGTTTTGCATGGCTGTCAGACATAAGCCCCCTAGAGCTAATGAGAACCAAAAAGAATTGCACGTCCCACCTGATGTCTGTAATGAACTGTAATGAGTGCTTCAAATGGCAGGTGGTTCTTAGGGGCGAATGGATAACACACTTGCAGGACAAACCTGCTGGGAAGGTTGCAGTGCCTGAAGCTATGGTCTTTTTTTTTTTTTAATTAAGCAGTCATTCACCTCTGGAAATCTCAGTTCAAGCGGCTCCGTCCTGGTGTGCGTACCCACACCAGGACATTGATGCCTTCATTTAGATGCTTATTTGGTTACTTTTCTGCTTATTCTTCTTTCTGCATTGTCTCAATTTTAATGCACTCTGTATGGTTCTTGTATCACATTCAAGAGGCTTTTTTTCCCCTGTAATTCGCTGATGCATAATAGTGTTCCTTTTACCAGGAGAACTAAAGCCCTCCTGCTCTTTCTGTTATAGCTTCATTACACGCACCTCAATTGATACTTTTGTGCCGTACTCATCCAGCTTCTCTGCTGCAGTGGAGCTCCTTGAATACAGAGGGGATTTGATGTTAGGCTTAAATATTAACCTTTGAGCTGTGAAATTATTACTGTCAAGCCAGCATTTTTACTTTTTTGGCAACTGTCTAAAATGTAGACCTAAATGTCTCAAGTGATTTTGTCTCAAGTGATCATCATCAATAAAATATGTACATTATTATTATTATTATTATCATTATTATTCTCTTGTGTAATTTGCCCTCTTTTTATATGGTCTCCAATTGCACCTGTGAGCAGAAACTTGAAAACATGTATAATCGTCATTTTAATTGTGTTGTGTACTAAAATGGTACCATATTATAATGTAGATTTTTTGTTTGTTTGTTTGTTTTACTTGTTTATACAAATGAACTAATCAGCTATTCTGAAAAAAAGTGCTCCAGGTTGTAGAGAATCACAATTCTCTGTACAAAATAAAGTCCGAAGCCCTAAGTAGTAGTTTTGAATCAGTATAAAATTAAGGAATTACAAGATCATTCTTAATTATGTGTTGTAGCTTATATCCTTAACCTCCTACTGGATTTTCATTAAACTCAAAAGCTTGGAACAAAGATATTTGCTGATGCTAATGGATCACTAAACTGAAACCAGATTTGTTCAACAATTTAATTTTTTTTTAATTTTTTTATCACCAATGAAGAGAAGATTGCCTAATTCAAATCTCTTAATTGACTGACTAGTGGATCACTTTTATCTTTTGGACTGACATTTTTTGCAGTGTTCTTCTACGGTATCGTATTGAAAAGAATGCTTAGGCTGAAGGTGCTCGAAAACAAACTGGTTTTTATGATGCCTGCATATTGATTTTTCTCTCAAGATCCAGACATGAAAGCACAGCATCTATAAAAGCAAGATGCTCTGTAAGACATTAGGTTATTATAATTTTTTTGCTACATGGTTAGTAAATAACAAAATTAACAAAACAAGTAATCAAGTGTTGTATACTATTTTGTCTGGAGACAGTCCAGATTGCCATCAGGTGTTTAGTTTGCTTCGTCTTGCTTCAAGTAACTTTGTTTTTGTGATCAGTGTTGTTTTGACATCATTTTCTAGTATTGATTTCTCTGCAGTAGGTGGTGGAAGTGTGTTGATGTCACAGCTCAAACTGGTGCAATACCAAACCATCACACTGCCATAGAGTGTGGGTGCATGTTGTGTAAACGTGCAGTAACTTTTACTACACATTGCAGCGGCACACATTTGGAGCCTCAAGGGAGCCAAATACTTTATTGCCTTTTTCCTCTACCTGTAATATCCTTTTCTCATATATTGTCCTCTGTTTTTTTTTTCTTAAGCAATCTATAACTACGATGCCCGGGGGAAAGAGGAGCTGTCACTGCAGATCGGAGACACGGTGCACATACTTGAGACATATGAAGGTGAGAACTGACAGTTGATGAAAGCTGACAACCTGGAAATGAATATTAAGTAGCTTTGCATTCTCTTTTCAGACTTTTAAGTTGTAAAATTCAACCTTGGTGGAGAGAAGTGCTGTTTATTGACTTCAACATTGTCAGCTGGGTTTTTGTAAAAAGGTCTTTTGCAATCTCAGTATTAAGTATTTTTCTTTTGGACAATGGCTTTGAGATATTACGTTTTAAAGTTGGTGAGCTGCACACCATAGAACTCACTATGTTGTTTTATGCTTTTCTATATTTACACATTCTTCAATTCTTGTCATAGACGTTGGGTCAGTTCTTTTTTTTTTTTTTGTGCTAATTTTGTTTGTCTGCAGTCGGTGGTAGTGCAATTCAGCCATTTGAAAATTCAAAATAAAAATAATTTTGAATGCAACCGTCCCATTGCCACACCTCCACTTCTGTGCTTTCTATAAAGTATTTGTTCTAAGTGTAGGAACAGGAGGTGGGCGGTTCTAAAGCTTACTGAATATTCTGTGCAGTTTCTGTTCACTTACTTTTGATTGGTTATTAAATATGCATTGTGTTGAAGTTTATTTTTTAGTCTTTTATGCTAAACAGTTGAAATCATAATGATAATTGATAGAGCAATGTTATTTTTGTTTTTTACTAGCCTGGTACAGGGGATACAGGCTGAGGAGAAAATCAAAAAAGGTAAGAGACTGTTAGAGATTTTGATTCCTCTGTGACATAATTTGTTACAATTCTAGTATTTATTTCTGTAAAACGGTGTTCCATATTTATTTTTTTTCCTATTGCAGGGCATATTTCCTGCTTGCTACATCCACCTGAAGGATGCCACAGTTGAAGGCAGTGGGTCAGTATCTTTACCATCAGATGTTAATACAAGGTTGTTCTATGATCAGAAATCTTGCCATTTATGAAATCATATCTATTGAAAATTATAATGAGAGGGATTTCCAATCTCAAATTATGTAAAGCGCTGACTTCCTTTCCCAGATTTGGGAACTTGGCTTAGCAAGTTCTGTGCAAGGTAATTAGAATATTAGAGGTTAAAATGTAAAACTCAAAATATTTTCATTTGCCCTTTTTCCATGAGACGTTGAGGTTTTAAACAGTCCTAAAAAAATTACATTGTATATTAAAATGACCAAATGAAAGCTGGACTTTGTATAATCACTGATTTAAAAATAGATTAGATTTGTTTTGGTTTGGCTGAATGATCACCAGTCTGGGCCAGTCAAGAGGAAAATTTGGAATTTACTGCCATTATCTAAATTTGAACATTTTAAGGGCATTTCCTTTGTAGTAAAGCTTTGAATATTTCTGTGTTATTTTTTAATTTGTGTATCTCAGAGATCAGAATGCTGGAATTAGGCTGATTATTTTTAGGAACAGCGGATTTTATCAGAATTGGCTCTGATCAGTGGGAGAAGAAAGTAATGTTGATGTGTTAATAAGAAGACTGTGAATTCCTAATCCGTTGTTAAATCAAGTGGTACCTGCTGCCACTTTCTCAAGTTAGAAATGGGTGCAAAATAGGTTTCTGCACTGTCGCCACTTACTTACACTTCATTCTACTGTCTTATTAATTAAATAAAAATTAACTGAGACTAACATGTGATCTAACACAAGTTTGACATACCTCCTGAGTTTACATGTTGTTTTTAAGGGAATGAAGTTGGATTCTCCATTCTTTGTTACTGCAGGCAAAAGGAGACAGTTATTCCCACTGAGCTGCCCCTGGTTCAGGAGGTTACAACAACGCTGCGGGAGTGGGCTACTATATGGAGGGACTTGTATGTGGTGAGTCATCCTACCAAAAGCTGCACTCACTCACTCACTCACTCACTCACTCACTCACTCACTCACTCACTCACTCACTCACTCACTCACTCACTCACTCACTCACTCACTCACTCACTCACTCACTCACTCCACTCACTCACTCACTCACTCACTCACTCACTCACTCACTCACTCACTCACTCACTCACTCACTCACTCACTCACTCACTCACTCACTCACTCACTCACACTCACTCACTCATCACTCACTCACTCACTCACTCACTCACTCACTCACTCACTCACTCACTCACTCACTCACTCACTCACTCACTCACTCACTCACTCACTCACTCACTCACTCACTCACCCACTCACTCACTCACTCACTCACTCACTCACTCACTCACTCACTCACTCACTCACTCACTCACTCACTCACTCACTCACTCACTCTCACTCACTCACTCACTCACTCTCACTCACTCACTCACTCACTCACTCACTCACTCACTCACTCACTCACTCACTCACTCACTCACTCACTCACTCACTCACTCACTCACTCACTCACTCACTCACTCACTCACTCACTCACTCACTCACTCACTCACTCACTCACTCACTCTCACTCACTCACTCACTCACTCACTCACTCATCACTCACTCACTCACTCACTCACTCACTCACTCACTCACTCACTCACTCACACTCACTCACTCACTCACTCACTCTCTCACTCACTCACTCACTCACACTCACTCACTCACTCACTCACTCACTCACTCACACTCACTCACTCACTAACTCACTCACTCACTCACTCACTCACTCACTCACTCACTCACTCACTCACTCACTCACTCACTCACTCACTCACTCACTCACTCACTCACTCACTCACTCACTCACTCACTCACTCACTCACTCACTCACTCACTCACTCACTCATCACTCACTCACTCACTCACTCACTCACTCACTCACTCACTCACTCACTCACTCACTCACTCACTCACTCACTCACTCACTCACTCACTCACTCACTTACATACATTCATGTTGCATGCACAGCATAGAAGTGTGGAAAACGAAAGATACTATTTTTGCTCTAGGACATTTTTTTATCGGTGTGTAATAAAAAAGGATCTGAACTTCTTTGTGCTTTTCCTTTCTTTTTTTTTTAAGTCAAGCATCAAGTGTACAAAACACAGCAGATTCCTCTCTCATTATCTATTAAACAAATATGAAGCCATAATGAAAAAAAGATGTGATTGAAAAACAAAGAGTACCTTATGAATTAAGACCCATGCTTCTTTATAACATTGATTTATTTCATTAAACGTTGGCCACAGCTCTTTAAAGGTCCCCCCACAACATATTGATCAAGTTGGGATCTGAACTTTGACTGGGCCATTGGCGGTTTGCTCTTTCGGCTATTTTTAAATAAATTTGCTTTGTGTTTCTCACCTAAAAGTATGTGTTTTGGTTGTTGTATGTCTCTGTTTCAACCAACTATACAAAGAAATACATTATGCAATGCAAGGTGCATCATCACCCTCTACCGCTGTGCACAATAGTTGCTTTGTTTATGCTAAGGTGCTGTATTTTGTTTCCGGCACACAAGGAGCTAATTGTTATTGCAGTATTCTTTTTGTAGAAAACAGACATTCTCATTACAATCCTTCCAAAACTAGCAACATTAGTCAAATATTCTTCTAACTTTACAGTAACCGATCAATTTAACATGCTAACGGAGTCCTGTAGAAACAGCTCTTCTATAAATATATTTTTTTTTCATTTCTTTGAGCATTTCACTACCTGAACATTTACTTGGATCCTCACTTCGAGGAAGAATGGCAATTGTCTTAAATTCTTTTCACTTGTAAATAACCGCATTTGCTATAGAATGGCAAACTTTAATTTAGTTACTTAGCATCTCTTAATGAGTAGCTAAATTATTGTGATTAGCATTACAAAAACGGCAGTGTGTATTCAAAAGAATGTGAAGTTTTCCATATCCAGGATATTCCACAACAAAGCTTGAAACATCAAAGGATGAACAAGTGCAGAAACTGCAAAGTTTCTGACTAGCCAGTCACTTATCAGAGCTGCCCGATTCTGTTCACCAGGGGATTTCTCTGCATATTCCTTGGTCATATTGTTCAGAAATAATCTCATGTTGACGCGAAGCAGTAATTTTTTCCCCTATAAGTTCCTTGCTGATATTTTCCATCATTGTGTGTGAGAATATAAATGTGTCCTCTGGAGCTTATAGGAACTGCTGTTATGCTGCAGATGCATGTAGCAGCTGTTTTTATATCTGTGGACATCCCTGCTGATAATTGTATTTTTTCCTTTCCTTCATAAATCCCACTGAAGCACCAAAGATGTACTTTGTTTTTCATACACAGCATTTTAAATATGGATTTTGGATGTTTTTGTTTTGTATTAAATAATGGAAATGGTTAGTCTATTTTTTTTATTTGTTTGCTTCTTGTACATGAAGGTTAAATTTAAGTAATTTTGGACCATTATGCAAAATGTACACCTGAATAAATGCATAACTTTTGAAGTAAGTGACAAAGTTCTATCCTTTTTTCCAGAATTTTAAACAAGAAATACTTAATGCACATCACTGAAGGACACAGAGACAGCAAATGTTTGTTTTTCTGAAAAAAAAATGGTGCAAATATCTATCAGGCTGTACCAATTTTGACACATATATATTGGATTATGTCCTCGCAGAAATTAAGCACAAAGTGGCTAACCTGCTGTTAAGATTTAGTATTTCTTGGCATTTAGTTTCTTCATGTCTGATAGTTGTACAATATTCTGTCTAAAAGGGGGACAAGCGCGAGATGTTCAACTCTGTCCGTGACATGATCTACGACCTCATCGAATGGCGGTCACAGATCCTATCTGGCACCCTCCCGCAGGATGAGCTTACAGAGCTCAAACAGAAGGTCACCTCCAAGATAGACTACGGCAACAAGTAAGCATTTTGTTTAAGGATTTTAGGCTTCTCTTGTGCTGGATTATAATAACTCTTTTCAGAAGAAGTAAAAATTTGCATATAGCTTCCTGGAAAATGTGCTTCTTTAATGTGGAAGTATAGGGCACTAAATTTGGATATCTTTGAAATCTTAATTTATAATTCAGGTTTAAAAAGTGAAAGCTATACAGCATAGATTCTTTACACACAAAAGGATATATTTCAGTTGTTCATTTTTGTTAATTTCAATAATTGTGGAGTACAGTTAATGAAAATCTCAAATTTAGTTGGTCAGAAACTTTAAATATTTCATAAAAGTAGAAAAATCTAAACATTTATTGCAAAAATTAACCTCTTTGGTGTTCATAGTTCTGTATCCAAGCATATTAATGACATTTTTGTGGAAGGAAAAATGTTTAATGAAATGAGAAAACGGCTAGCTCAGGGGTCCAAATTCCTCTTTTCAGATGAAAATAAAAATCGCATATTACTTTGAAAGTGTTTAACATTCCTGAAGCAAATTAGCTTTTCAGTAGCATTCATATTCATTAAGATGCAACTGTAGGAAGCCACTGTATGCCTGCCTCTGCAAACTCCAAAGTGATGACTTTCACTGTGTCTGCAGTAAGACAACAAAATTGTTTGGCAATGAGTTTTGTGGAGCTCTATTCTGCTGCTGTGATGAAACTTTAAATCCTGGTCCTGTAGAGATATTGCTTTTGCCACTGCAGAGGCAGATACTGATGTGTTTAAAAAGAAAACCATTAGGTGCATGTTGGCAGCCCGCTGTTGTCTCTGCCGAGTCCCTCCAGAGCAGAAACACTGGAGGGAGAAAGAAAAGCCTGACGAGCTTTGAAAGAAAACAGTGGAACAGAGGGGAAAATTATATGAGCATCAAATAAGGGAGCTGACTGGGAGCACACAGTGACAACACGCTGTTTGTTTTTCAAAAATGCAACCATATGTTTTGCCTTTTGTTGTCCTTTGTCCTGACATGTTTTGACATATGTTCATTGACTTTTCCTTATTCAAGATACTTGGATCTTGATCTGGTGGTTAGAGACAAAGATGGAAACATTCTGGACCCAGAGCTCACCAGCACCGTCAGCCTATTCAGAGAACATGAGGCGGCCTCCAAACAAATTGAGGACCGGATCCAAGAGGAGAAGGTAAGCAAAGGGAGGATTATGGTGTTCCTTTTGAATCGAAACCAATTTAAAGAGAAACAACATGGTGCAAAACTACAACTTCATAATTAAATTTTTCAGAACTTCTGTTAAGGACTTCTGTGAATTGTTTAGCAAATTAATATTGTGTAACAATTTCCTCATTAGAAATATGTTCTTAATCGTCTTTTAAAAGCTTTCATGTCAAGTCTTGTCAGGAAATATCTTGTGAGGTGAGCAATAAGAGGAAGTTTGTTTATTTAGGACAACCAAAAGAATATCTGTGATGGCGTTAGAGAAGAAGCCAGCGGTAAATCGAGTTCATTTAATTATAAAATGCTGAGTTCACTTTGATAGACATATATATTGTTATCATTGTTCCAACATCCACAGTGAAATAATTTAAACCCAACTCTTCCTGTCATGTCTATGCGTACTTAATGTGAATGTTCTTCGATCGTAGCATTAAATAAAACCGGACTAACTTGGATGCTGTTCTTAATTATTTTCACTGGCGTATACTGTCAAGACTCTTTACAGAGAACCCAGACGTATCTTGAGAAAGATGATGCAGGTTGTTGTCAGGCTACAATTCTGTTCAGCTACAACAATGAATCATCAGGTTTTTAAAAGTAAAAAGTAGAAAATGGAATAAGGTAATAAAAAATGTCATTCTTATTCTATTTAGTTTTATGGTGTGAAGGCCAGTTTGTGGAATTAAGCTAATGCGCTTACAAAAAAAACACTTTTTCTTCAACTATATTATAAAAAGCTCCCTTAAGCCTCTTTTCCCTTTAAAGCCTTTGATACTTTTCTTTCTGCTATGCAGCTAATGCTGAAATGCACACTTTTGAAGGTAAACATGTACTCTAAACTTCATACAAAAATATTTTTTTGCATTCATTAAAATGATACGTATGTAAGTAAGAAAAGATAATGCATGACATGTTCAGAAATAGGATGTTCAGAGCTGCTGTGGAGACTACTTCTCCAGTCTCACCTCTCTTAGCTCTCCATTACCTGTCTTATCTTCTCACTTACTTTGTCCTCGCACTTCTTACACCTTCTTTTTCCCCTTTTTGTCCATGATTCTTCTTTTTCTATTCAATTTCCCACCAGATTCAGTTGGCAACCTCTGTCAACTTATGTAACATAAGTTCAATACTGAATATAATGTGACAACAGGATTATAGGTGCGAAACATTTGTTTTAGAAAATCCACTCATTAGATTGACAAAATACTGAGAGTTGAAATATAATTGGGCTGTCGTAGGAAAATAGGCAGCTTTTTTAAAATGCTGATCATGTCAAGTTTGACACTGAAATGACAGATGCCAACAACAGGGATCATAAGCTCAGCTTCAGTTAGAAACCCTATATGTGTTATTTGAAACCCTGATTTGATAAATGGGATCCTAAAATGTTAAAAAAATAAATTAATAATGGGCAATAATTAAAAAAAACATGCATAAAGGCATGTTCAAGCCATTCAACTTTTTAGGGCTTCGCACTTTATTTTGTACAGACAATTGTGATTCTCTTGTTATTTGAGCTGGAACAGAGCTTTTTGGCACCTTTAGTGTAGAAGTGGGAAAAGCAAGCAGCCTCTCCTGCCACAAAGACATAAAAGATAAAAGAGAGACATAATCTCAGTCATATTCTCAATCTACTTTTCTTGGCAGGTCAGTGACTCTCCACACCTGGTGGCAGTGTGAGCAGAGTGCTAAAAGACCAAGTGTCCCACTTTCATGTGGTCTCTCATCCTACATTTTCAATCAGAGCTCTTTACTGGCCAGTTTAGTTGACCTTATCAATATTTAATGATCAGGTTCTTGCATACTTTAGATGTGTATTCAAAGTAACACATAGTAGGCTATTTTACTATAGACAAGCCACAGCAGATTATGTGACTTTGAAGACTTTTTATACAGTGTATAACACTGAATTCTGACAAATTTTTTCAGGAAAGAAATAATTTTTGTTAGTCTCATAATTTTTTTTATTATTAAACTACATCAGAGCCTCAAGTCTCAACTGCATGTTTGGTAAGAAAATCAAACACTCACAGCGTTTCCTCTGTTTTTCTAACAGTCTCAGAAGCAGAATATTGATCTCACAAGGCAAGCAAAGTTCGCCTCCACTCCGGCATTCGCCCTCTTTGTGACTCTGAAGAATGTGGTGTGTAAGATTGGCGAGGATGCAGAGGTTCTCATGTCCCTGTATGATCCAGTGGAGTCAAAGTTTATCAGGTATCTCATAAGCTTACATGGTTACTGATTCCTCCTCTTTCATTTTTATCTTCTAATTTATGTGCACAGTCCTCATCAAAACAGCATCAGTTCAGCCCTGCAGTCAAAAGATTTACTTGTTTTTTTTGGGGGGGAAGGAGGGGTTCAGGGATTTGACATCAAAGTTGTATGATAGGAATGATTAAGAACTCAGTGGGACATTTCTTTTGCATTTATCACCAGTCCTAAATTTCAGGCAACTGAAATGCATATTTGGTAGTCATTGCTAAACCCAAGATAAGAATCCCTTAGGAAATGTTATGTGGAAACTTAATTTTTTTTTCCATGCCAAATGGATTTTTGCTGACCCAAAAAATAAAAAAATACCGGCAGTTTTGTAAGCAATTTTTTTGATGTTGCAAAACTCTGACCCTTATTTTTTCTAAAACTGATTCGTAAGAATAAATTACATTTTTGCATGTTGCAAATGTTGTATCCCCATGATGAACAGTTTTATGTTAAAGTGCTCTATTTTACATGAGCCATTCAAACACTATTTTACACCCCAAACAATTCCTGTGTATTGTAATAGGATCTGATGTTATAGAACAATGCAAAGCAGTGGATAATTGTAAAGTGGTAGTAACACTCATTTGTGAAGTGTAGCTTGGATTTGTTTTCAGTCTCTCTTCCGCTTGATCGTGTTCAGTAAAATCCAGTTAAATCAACTGCCTTCAACAGTTTAGTTTGAAAATGAAGTGTGGAATTTACTCTCAGTATAAATCCAGTGGTCATGTGCAGTTTTAGTTGGAGAACTAAAGCTGCACATCACCCTGAATGTGCTATCTGGATGGTAAAATATGGCGATGGCAGCATCATCCTATTAGGATGCTTTTCTTCAGCAGTGACAAGACAGATAAACGGAGATAAATAGTGGGAAACACTTAAAGAGAACTTGTTAAAAGTAATCAAAGATGTGTCAAGAGCTGCGGTAAATCTTTTTCATCAGGACTGTGACGATTAAAAATGCCTAGTCAAAGTCTAAATTAAACAGTAAGTAACACTGTCCACTCAGTCTGACTAATTTTGAGCTCATTTGCCAAAATTAACATGCCAGGATTTTGATCTCTGGATGTTTCAAAGCTGGTAGCTAGCATATCTTAAAATATTTTGTTGAAAAAAGGTTTAGGGTCTGGACTCGTCAGGGCTTAACACAAATTTTTAGGTTTTTATTTGAACCATTGTCTTCTATTTTACCATTATCCACTACTTTGTGATGCTTTTTAAATAAAACCACAGTAAAATCCATCGAAACTCAATCATGCATATTTTTGCAAAACACTTTGCTCGTCAAAAACAGTTTCAAGCTCTTAAAAGTCTGACTTTCCTTTGGAGGGAAAATTGGAAATGTATTTTTTTCTTGTCTGTCGCTCACAGTGAGAACTACCTGGTGAAATGGTCGAGCTCTGGCCTGGTAAAAGACATCGACCAGCTTCATAACCTGCGGGCGGTTTTTACAGTGAGTCTGTTTGGCTGCGTGAACGTTTGTCATTTTGTGTGTGTCCATGTGCTCGCCCGACTATAGTTCTGTTTATTCAGCCATGTTATGAGGCAATTGGGAGCCTCTCTGCAGAGAGCCTGTGTTTTGTTAAGCTCTCTCAGTAAGATCAAGACTTGCTATATGTATTTTCTGAGGCAGTCGCCTCTATCGAATGGAAGCCCAACATGAATGTGGCACATTCTCAAAAGTAGCTGAAATTACTTGTTGCTGAAATGTTTGGCTGTTTTACAAAGGTATGTAGACTTTTGGAAGTTAAATTAATTGATCTGTGTTTGAACTTGAACATTTACATGCAATTTTCTCATAAATGTTTTGCCATAACTTCGGTGTCGATGTACAGAAGTAATTTTGCTGAGACTCCTAATTCAAGGCATCATCTGCCTTTAAAGCCTTATTGTGTTTTTCTTCCTCTGCAGGACTTGGGCAGTGAAGATTTAAAGAGAGAGAAGATCAGTTTTGTGTGTCAAATTGTCAGAGTGGGACGTATGGAGCTGCGGGATAACAACACCAAGAAACTGACTTCAGGCCTGAGAAGACCCTTTGGAGTTGCAGGTGAATTGAAGCTATATAATATCTGTCAGCTTCAGCAGTTTATGCAACACCATGTGTGTTCAGCATGAGCAACACGAGATTGTGTGAGTCTTTGTCCAACTGGTTAAATATACATTAGCACAAAAACAGCACTATAACACTAGAAAATCCCTAGCCAAAAATAATTGCACTCCATATATTCCTTTGCACAGGCTGATATTATGATGACTATTTATCCACACTACATTGTGGAGAATTGAAGTAATAAAAACCAGTTTAAAACTCAGAACAATGGCTTTTCTCTACTTATTGTGTTGTGTCTTTGCACCATTAATAAGCTATGTCTGACTATATTAGGTCATTGAGTGTTTTTTTCCCATTAATGTAAAGATACAGGGAGATTTTGTATAAGACTTTTTAAGCACTAATCAAAAAAGTATTGCACTTCAGTTAACAATGTTTAAACTGATAGGAACTGGTATTCAATTCACTTTGGATTTAAATACGTTTGTTAATTTATAAACTACTGAATGGCTTAGTACTGAAGTACATTAAAGATTGATTGTTGCCAAATTAACCTTTCAGACCACAAAGTCACCCAAACATGAAGATGTAGTGCTCAATTCTATCGAGAAACAAACTTCCAGAACAGTTTGAGTTAAATCAGGCTAAAAGCCCATTTGGTTAGAGCTGCCTTTGACAACTGGAACATCATAAAATGTTGTCTATCTTTCAACCTGTCATTGTGTTCCCACTGTAATCTAATGTTTTTGCTCATTTTTTTTCTCTTTTTTTTTTTTCTCATTATGTAAAGCAGAACTGTCAGCTTCTTGTACCAGAGCTGCCAACATATAGAACAAGAAAAGAGAGTGCCTCTGTTTTCCAGAATCAGGGAGTTTGCTTAATAACAAACACAACGTAATGTGCAGTTCTTTGCTGTCTTGAAGTTTAGCTGGCGTTGTTTGGGCCACAAGGTCACAGAGTTTGGAAGCCATTTGGTTCTGCTTTGATTTGCTTGGATGTCTTGGTGATTTCTCACATTGGCAATCAGCCTAAAACAATGATTGATAATCTTATGTTTTCTGCCTCACTCTTTTAGTGTAGAGATGGACCAAGAAGGCTAAGAAGAACTGTTATTGTAGCAGTTCTTTATTGTTTGTGCTCTGCACTGCACATCTTTTTAACCTCATTGTGAATAATTTGTGTGGTGCCTTCAGTCCTTGCCTGACTGAATAAATATTTTTGGCTAAAATTCAGAGGCCTTGCTGAAGTAGAGAGAAAAGAATTATATGTTTTTTAATCCCTTGCTGGCAAACCTCCAGGTGTATAGTAAACTAATTAGATTGGCGTCAAGCCCACATTTGTCCAACAGAGAAAATTATGTCTCTCTTTCAGTGGTTCCCCCCCTTCCGCTTTTCCTCCCCATTTCCTCTTGAAGGGAAGGTAAATGACAAGCAGATTTATTGGTGGCTTATCTTTAGACATTATTACAACTGTGCACAGTATGTAGATTTCTTTCTGCTTTTATAGCTTTGCCTTGCTTTACCATTAGTTATAAAAATATGCATGTCCTGTAGCCTCTTGGGTAATGGAGTAAATGTGAGGTCATCCTAGCATTGTTTCTTATTCACATCATCTGTAAGCTGCATAGACAGCAATAATGTGCCCCCTGTTCTCTGTAAAATACTGAGGGCTTTTACAGACTAAAAGCAATGGTTTTCTTAATGCATCTCTTGTGGAATCGGGGGAGATGTCTCTGGCTGTGTGACATCAGTCCATTTGTTTTTGTATGACATTGTTGAAAGTGCAGCTTGACCTTTGTGTCATTCCTGTACTTTCCATTTCTTTGTAGAAAGCTCTTTAGAAAACATTTTACAGGACAAACAGGTCAAACTTACATACCAGGTAAAAAGAGTCAAAAAATGGTCCAAACTGAATTTGAATGAATCATTGATTTCATTCTACTTCATACTGTCCAGTTAAGACAGTAATGTTTAACTCAGTCTGATCGGACTGATTTGTCTTATGATGCAGAATAAGGATGTGGCGACAGTGGAGAGCCAGAATCCTCCAGCTGAGAAGCAAAAAGCACTGTTTGATTAGAACTGTCTGTGGGAGAGGAAATAAAAAGTAAACATTGTTAATGGGAGAAATGAATTTGTCAGTGACTTTGTCCAAGAAAGAGAGACAAAAAGCACAGAAGTGCTCAGCCAAGAGTTTTTTCTGAAGAAGATAAAAACAAAGGGTACATACTGCCTGTTGGAACAATAGCTTTGTTAGTGATACTGTACAGGAAGCAGACACCAGAATAAACCCACCTAAAAAACAAAACAAAAAAGAGAGTACACACAACCTGGCAACAATAACTTTGTCAGAAACTCGTTCCAGGACTTATCTAAACACAGATGCACAGGGTTGGTAGTGCTTTCAATTGGAAACAGAAATCAAAAGGAGCAAGCATTTGAAACTGGAACAATAGTTACTGTTCAGAAAAAGACAGTAAGAGTATTTTTTATTGTGAATAAAATCACTGAGAATATCCTAAATTATGAATAGCAATGCCTCTGTCCAGGAATGACAGTTAAATACAGACACATGGTCACAAGAGTACTTTTATGGAAAAATAACAAATGCATAATGGTAGTAAACATTCAGTCAGTTACTTTGGCAGACGTAACTGCATAATTTGATCTACTCAGAAAAGTGACAGATGCATAAAAGACAGTGAACAAGAAGTACTTTTTGTTGGACAAGAAAGAAAAGCCGGTACACAGGGTTCTTTGCAACAGTAGCCTTATCCATTTTGTTCAGGAGAAAGAAATGGCTAAAAAAAGGTACATGTTTATTTTGAAAGGCAACAAAATGTCCAAAAGTTTATTTTTTTCTCACAATGAAGTTGTTTTTGTCATAAGATTTTGTAAGTAAGCTAAGATCACCTATGAGTGCTTTTTATGCTCCACACAAACCTACAGTGCAACTATCTCTATCTTACATGCCCATGTTACCTCATCCTCGCCTTAAAAATGTCAAAACCTGTTTCTTTTTATGATATTTTTTTTCTCTTTTGTTTTCACAGTAATGGATGTTACAGATATCATAACAGGCAAAATGGATGACGAGGACAAGCAGCACTTCATCCCATTCCAGCCGTAAGAGCTTTTTGCCACAAACATTGATTTGTATTTAATGTAATTTTTTATTGTAATTGATATATATATATATATATATATATATATATATATATATATATATATATATATATTTGCTTGCTTAAATTTAAGTGAATCAGTGGTACAGTTCGTAAAAGTAGTTTATTTTAGCAATCAAACCTGCCAAAACAATGATTTGTGGGTTCTCACAAAACAGATGGGCTAGCAAAAACAAGTTGACAACTGTTTGAATGTTGCCATGAGTTACAAAAAAAAGAGAAAAAAACAACTTGACTCAGGCAACATGCTAAACTGCATTACACAGTGTTTTCTCTCCCATTTAGAATCCCGACATTGACCACTGTCCCAAGTATTTACTGTAAAGGTTTGAACAAAAAATATATACTCTGGTCAGGGTAGTTAATAGTTGGTACATTTAGAAGTTATGAGCTTCACATTGCTAAAAAAAAACCCCCAAAACTAATGTGACTTGCTATTATACTGCATATTTCTGAGATTGATCCATGGTTGCAAGCAAATGTTATGTAAACACAGCGCTCCATAATGTTATTAGTAAGGTCTGCTTTCCTAACCATTCTTTTATTTAAAAACACCCTAAAAAAAACAAAACAGTAATTCAGTTGAAGAGATTCGATTCAGAAAAAAAAATCATTGTATGAATATATAAATGTGTGCTGATGTATTTGATAGTGATTTGTTCCTAACTTCTGAAGGGCTGCATTAATGTCCGTTGGGAGGTGTTTCACACTGAGATGAGGTGAAAATCAAAATAGAGAGATGTCTTCAGTCTCATGCCTAAATGACAGCATTCATTGTTGTGTTTCCATACTAACATTATAACTTCTTCTCTTCCATTCTGTTTTCTGGCTTCATGAGAGTCTTAAGTCCATCTCTTGGCATTTTTAACACATTGGGGAGGACGGACTACTAAGGACATTTTTTTGAATCCAAGTCATAACGATTAGATTTTTTTGTATTTTCTCGTATTTAGTTTTAAGTTATACAGTTTGGAAAAACACAAATGGCCATTTTACTGTTCAGTGATTTAAAAATTCTAACTAATCCCTAGTGAAAAAAAAATGCCTCAGTATATTTCAAACATATTTACATTTGTGTTAGTATATTTTAAGTATACCAAGTATGAAGTGTACGACATAGAAATATATACGAAATACATTAAAAGCATGTTTGTGCCAATTTTGAATTTTGAACACACTTAAATATAATTGTACCAAAATACACTTTTAAGAAATATATTAACTAAAAATATATTTTCAGTTTTACATCTCTCTGAATATGATATGTTGCTTTCAGTTTTTAACTAAAACACAAAAGCTGTCTCTACGCAATCCATTTTCAGATGTAAGACTTTTCCTTTGTGAACAGCATTGACACCAGTTCACACTCCAGGTAATGCACCCCTTTAGTGTTTTTTTTTTGGGGGGGGGGTTTGTGTTGTTTTTTTTTTAAAGTAAAACAGCCATGAAGATAAGAGATGTTCAAGAATTCATCATTGTTACTCACATAATATTGCCTTAAAAGTAAAGAGGGCCTTGATAATAGTTAGTAGTTTTGGTGAATTCAAGTTTGTAATGTCCTAGTCCGTGTTAGACGACAACACAACAAGACAAGAACTGGATGGAAATGAAATGTGGGTCATCGCCAGACCCAAAGGACAAAGGCTGCTAATGTGTTGCTAGCTTGTGGTAAGTTTGCTTCAAAATTATCTTTGTTTTATTATAAACAGTGTAATACATATATAAGAAAACTTACAGAAATAGTTATTTTATCAATTGTGATTTTTATAATTATTGTAACAATCATTCAACTTCATGTTATAACTGTATGGAGGCTGTATTTGTTGCGACGCAATAATTTTCTTCATAAACGTAACCTAGTTTTAATTAAGCTCAGTATGCCAAAGAGACTTTGATATTGTGTGGTTGTTAACTCGTTCATCATTGTTTTTATCTTCAACAATATTTTTGGAGTATAGGCAAATGAAGATGAAAGAGCAAGCAATTGGATCAGGTATTAGAAACCCAAAAGACTGTCCTGTCTCAGAAGAGGCTCTGGCTCCACCAGATCACCACACCAGTTCTGAGGTCGAAACATCCAAATTGTCTTGAGATTTTTTATTTATTCATTTATTTTTTTACTGAGCAGCTGGCCACATTTTTAACAACAGCAAAAAACTGGTGTGTTTCCAACACTAAGTACTTAATAGGCATGATTTGATTTTAAAACAATTAAACATAATTTATTCCCCTTGTTCTACTATTTCTCTTTCATACATTTTATTCATTGTTAGCTTTCATGGCCCTGTGATGGACTGGTGACCTGTGGTGCCCATCAGGGTTCACCCTGGCGATGGGCACTACCGTCCCCTCTCACCTTCCTGCAAGGATCAGAACCTGAATGGAAAGATTTCAAAGTAGTTTGTCTCCCTTAAATCCACACTTAAAACCACGTCATAGTTAATGCCAGCAGCAACTGATTCTATGATATTGCTGACTATGTTTTTTCTACTTTCAACATAAACAGACAAGGAAATCTCCCCGAAATGTTTTTTCACCCCAGGCATCCGGTCCCAATTATCATTAGTTCTGACGATGCCACATTCATAGCGAGTCCACAACGTCTTAAAGTTGTAAGGCATACTTTTTTGTTTGCTGTTTTTCTGTACTCTTAAAATACAAGTGCTTTCTCTGTTTAGTTGTGCTATTGTTTTATTTTATTTTTTTTGTAGGTATCTGTAAATTGCAGTGGTGCAGTGAATGGGAATGTTCTGTTGTTGATCCTCACTTTTCTTAGGAAAGAGAAATGTCAGTTTGTCTGGAGCAGTACTGAAATACTGTGACATTGTATTAAAACAATACTCTGTCCTTGCTGAAATGTTTTTCACATTTTGTTTAAAGTGTACTTATTGCTTTATTGTGCTTATTTTCTTAAGCATGTCGTCTGTAAACTTTGATTATATTGACAATTTGTACAATTCTCTCATAGTACATTGGCAATGTACTGTTGAAAAATTTGAACATATTGAATACACAATGTAATTTGTTTCACCTGTAAAGTGTGTTGTAATTGATCCCTCTGTGTACTGTTGCCCTGATATGTTTGCAGTACTGTGGTGTGTCTGAAGCAAGTAATGTACAAAGTGGCAAAGAAGAAGAATAAAAGACATAAAGTAAATAAAAAGTGTACTTCATTAGCAGTTATAGTCAACCAAAAGTTTTATTGTAGCATACTGGGATCACACTACTAACATAAAATATGTAATGTCAATATACTTAAAATACATTCTAAATATATTTTAAATATTTCAACCACAAAAATAGTACAGTCAAAATATACTAATCAAGCATTTTATATTACATAAAAAGCAATATGCTTAAAGGTTAGTTAGTTTAGGTGTTCCAACAAAAATATGTGAAAGTACACTTAGTACACTTTAAATTGTGCTTTAATGCAATTGAATACTATTACAATACACAAAAAAAAAATTAGCTGTAAAAATTATACTGAGTATAAGTATAAGTATAGGGTCTTCCTCCCTAAATTAAATTTTCTCTGTCTTTACCCATTCTGCTGACTGTTTACTGCTAACAAATTACTTTATTGCTGCCGTACTATCCACATCCTCCTCTTTTTTCTCCCTCTCATTCATCTCGCTTCTCTTCTCTCTCCCGTTAATTTGTTCACCTCTTCTTAACCCATTCCTCCTCTACCTTTCTTCTGTCTTTTTGCTCCTCCCTGTGGTGTTTGCCCGTTGTGTATGTACTGCAGGCTGGCGTTGGATGATGCCATTCGCCACAAGCAGCTGAACATCTCCCGTTTTTCACCCAGGGTGGCAGGGGAGAACGACTTCCTGCAGACGGTCATCAACAAAGTCATCACCGCCAAAGAAGTTAACCACAAAGGCCAAGGTACAATGAAAAGGTCACATGCACGCACGCACGCACACACACACACTTATACTCCTGCAAAATATATGTTTTATTGGTTTTGTCACTTTATAGCTAAAACTGGACTCCTTAACATGAACTAGTTCTAGGTTTATAATGATAATTATAACCTGGGTAGAAATATTATTGAGTGAAAATTAATTTTAAAGAGTGTGAAAGCTTCAGTGAGGTATTCACCTGTTTTGCTTGGTAAAGATAATAAAGTGTTGTATTTTTATTGATGCTGTCATTTAGTTGAAGGAAAAAGATTCATTATTATTACTTCAGATAAAACATAATTTGTTGTTTTCCATTTAAGGACATTGTGAATGGGGCCCATAATCCACACATTTTGTCATTACAGGTATTCCATACAAACTGAATAGAATCACTGGCAGCAATCACCTCACTGCTGCCAGTGAACTTGGTTCAAATAAATTGTCCTCTAAATAGCACCATTTCATTGCAAAAAATTAAAAAGTCAAGAACTTTCCAAAAACCGCTGATTCAGAACAAGCATGTAGCCACAGTGAGCATTTGACTGCATGCTGTAAGCACTACATTGCAGAATGAGGATACAGACACTGTTTAGCATAATCTGCTAGTTTTGTTTGAGTATGAGCCTTTATTTTTTTACATAAACTTCACCTGTGCACAGTCACAGTCAACAAACTTTTGTCTTTGAAGGGCAATGTCAGAAAGATTTTTTTCATAACTTTAAGTTTCTAATCCCCTGAATCCAAAACGGCTATCTGTTCTAAAATGTTGTATGTGAGGCATCACTAAATTCACAGCAATCTCTTTATGACCTAAATTGATTCTGTTGCATGTGGGGTAAACTTGAGAATTTAAATAGTCTCTTCTCTGTCACTGGAGTTTGTGTGGAAGTCCTCATAAATGTATGTGTTAAGTATAAACAGAGAACAACTGCAGGGTATGAAAGTGTTTTTAGCAACTTGCATTATTATTTTTTTTATAATCCATCAATTAGCATTCTGTTATTTTCTGCTGTCCCCTCAATCTCTGCCTAGGAGTTACAGCCTTTTGAGGTTTGAGTCATTCCTGTGAGAAATGAAAAGATAGAAAGAATTATGCGTGAAAAGTGCCTCCGGACAGAGGTTTGGATATTTTGCTTTTTGTTTGTTTTTGTTCCATAAATGTCCAGAATGACTTTGGTTCTCAAAGTCAATAAAATATTACAAATTAAGTCCCTGAAGATATATGATTTTGTTATTTAAAGCAGAATCTATGTAGAAGTACTTTTTGTCTCCATGCTCATTAAATTACTTTAAAAATGGACAGGGAATACTCCTGAATATTACATGTCCTGTGTAAGAGATTTAAAATAAAAAGACTGCTCATAGCTTCATTATACCCATATTTAAACTGTAAAATATTGTTATGAATCTCCTGTCAGCACAAGTTGACTTCAGTGATGTTGGGCCTGTTCTTGGTGGAGCTGCCTTAGCTATCTCAGGGATCTGGGCTGCAGGAAGGAAAGGGCTCCCCTCTTCAAGTCTCCGCTGTATTGTCATGCCAAATGAAATGGTACTCTGACAAATGTTAGGTCTGCTCTGACCCGTACTGAGGGAAAAACTGCAGAGACAGCTGATAGCAGCTGTTTCAGTCATGCTGGCATATCAAAGGGGTTTCCAGCTACACCAGTAAGGGATGTGTCACTCATAACAACACAGACTCTGCGAAGTGAAAGGGAATAAAGCAGCTGGCTTTTGTGGCCTTCCTCAGTCATACCCCTCTTTTCATGTCAGTCTTTGAACTGAACTTAAAACTCACTCACACACACACTTTACATGTCTTGAGCTATTATATTATTATAATTATATAATCAAATTTCTTGTGATGAAATATGTTTAGTGTCTTGTCTGACAGCTGTTGTTTATCACTCTGACAATTGTCAGTGGAAATAAGCCTGTCGCAATAATCAATAAATCAATTAATTGCACGATAATTTAAAACTATCAACCTCATTTTGATTATCGCGTTTATTGTTTCTTCTGCCCTTTTTGTCTTTCCGTTGATGACACTGAATGAAAAAGACTCAACTCCGGTGCTCTCCACTGACCTCTCCCTTCCTCATTTCCTTAGTGTAATTTCCAGAGCACACTACACGATCTTAGAGTTGTTGGCTGATTGTCGGTTCATTTTCAAAACCTGAGACCACACATTTGTCAACAGAAATTCTAGGTATAACGGTTCGATCGGGTTCGATTGTACCATGTGGTGTCCAACAATAGGCACAAAATAACGGCTACAAATCCAGTTAACTCATTTTAAAACCAGGCATTAATCAATGCTTTACAATAATCTACCGGCAATGCATGTGGCTAGTGTCAGTCCTGACTGAATGAAAATCATTATAACCTATTTATGTCACATTAACAAAGAACAACTGAAAATTTACAGGGTTTATCAACTGCGGTAGCAATTTTGCTCCAACTCCTCCCCTTGTCATTTCTGTATTCTTTGCATGAAATGTTGAATAAATATTCATGTTGTTTCCACATATCATCCCCAATATCTGCTGGATTTCAGCTGTTTGGGATTCCCCTCCATAATTTCCCCACAGAAAGCACAGAGGGGAATCTGCACTTTCTAATTGGCTAACTGTCACATTCAACAGGCTGCGTTAACGCTCCCAGATCTAAACCCCTGATTTAGATCAGAGTAGCCACAGCGGTTTACCGTTAACACACCACACACTACAGGATGATTGGTTAGGAAATCGCAAGTGACAATCTTCTAAGACGTTCTATGTTCTAAGATTGTGGTAAGGGGAAGATTGAGGCAAAAACTCATATAGTGTGAACTATTGCATCAGGTAGTCGGATTACGTCCATCTTCACTATTTAAATCTAATGATTACTGAAGGGCAATGTACTATACAGACTTCCTAATCTGCATTCTTTTGGTTGAATGTAGTATTTATTTCCACTTTGGCTTTATATCGTTTAGCTTTTATTCAAGTACATTTTTGTTAATGGAGACTGAGAATCCATTTTATTTTTGTTTTTGGTTGTTTTGTTTATTTTGTTTATCAGTTCCAGTGTTAAGTGTTCTTTTGAAAATAAAGTGTATCTATCTTTAACATAAAATTGCATGCATTATTACATTATTTCCATTAAATCAGTGTAAAAAAAGTCTTCAAACAATATTATTGTTTATCGCAATAACTTTTGAGACAATTAACCGCTCAGCGCAATTTATCGTGACAGGCCTAAGTAGAAATTAGAGGAAGACATCTTGTTTTTAGTCTTTTCCTGGAGAACTTCTTTTTGCTGTCTTCTCACTACCATATCTCAGCTCCCTCTTTGCCTGTGTTGATTGCATTATTAGGTCTTTGGGTGACTCTGAAGCTACTTCCAGGAGACATCCATCAGATAAGGAAAGACTTCCCTCACCTGGTGGATCGATCGACAGCTGTGGCTCGAAAAATGGGCTTCCCCGAGATAATCATGCCAGGTTCATTATAATGAAATAACGATTTTAATTTCAATGTCATTTTTGTGCATGTGTTGTGCTGTAAAAAAAATTATTAAGAATTAAAAGAAAGTGTATGCCGTTTTAAAATGTTAGTTTTTTCCAATAAACTTAACATTTTCTGTCACCATATACACCAAAAACAATGGATTCTCCCATCCTCTTTCTTTGCTGAAGGTGATGTCCGAAACGACATCTACGTGACTCTGGTTCAGGGGGATTTTGACAAGGGGAGTAAGACGACACCCAAAAACGTTGAGGTGACCATGTCTGTTTACGATGAAGACGGCAAGAAACTGGAGGTACTTTTTCAACTTTCTGTGCTTTCTTTGGGTTGGATTCTACAACCAGTTGCTTTCTCAAACATATTCCGATTTACCAGGCTTTTTTTTTTTTATCTCACTCAGCACAATAGTCTGCCTAAATGTCTCCTATTGTACTTTATAGTCTTCTATAAAGTTCATCCTATAAATGTGATGAAAAGCCCACACTGCCCACCTCTGTTACCTGTTGGCCATGATAAAAGGTAATGTCAGTGGGTTTGATTGAGTTGATTAAAATTCACCTTACTACCATCTTGCAGTATCAAACTTTTAGAGATAAACTGTTTAGCTTTAGTGTTTTATTTAGTTAGAAATTTGTCTGGGTTAAAAATGGCCTTTGCTAGTAAGGTTTATATATTCTAGATGTTTCAAGCTAAATTTTCAATTGAATATACACTCTTGAAAAACTGCAGCCAACTCTGAAAAAATAAAGAAACTAATTATGATTCTTAAGAGTACAATCTGTGTGGAAATACTGTCTTGAAAAGTCAGCGATATATCAAATACTTATTTTCCCAACTGTGTATGCGGGGTCAGGGAGCTATGAACTATATTACTTGTTCTTCTTCATAGTGAAATATGGAATCGGTGTGCAGCTTCATATCAAAGGTGTCTAAATTACATTTAGTGTCTACAAATTAAGCTACGATAAATTGTAAACAATGTACAATAGTGGCTGTCAATTTGCCAAGTTGCAGTATGTAAGATAAACTTGTCTCTCTGCCTTTTACATCTTGTGCCAACACACAAGAGTCTGATGTCCTAATGAAGGTTTTGTTTCATCTAAAGTCGCAGTGACCTCTTTTCTCTCATGTTTAATTACTGACGATCCCTGTTGACTCCGTTTCTTGCCCTACACCATCCACAAATTAATGGAGGATGTGTGGAGAGCAGCTGGATATGAGAAACCGGTGGGAGGAAGTGGGGCAGCGAGTCCATAACTGGAGTGTTTGCTGACATTTAAGAGAAGCCTAACTTTAAACGGTATTTTCTGATTTTCAAATGAAAATATTTCTGAGGCATAAGAATGTAATCACAAATCAAAGCAAAACCAAAATATTCCCATGGGCGTATAAATGATTTTCTAAAGTGTCATAGGGATTTTTTGTTAAAAAAACAAGTCCTACCCAACATTGGATTTAATCCTACATTTAAGTAAATGTACTCAATTTGATGATTTTGAATGCTGTCAGTGTTAGAAAATGCTATTATCATAAAGGCTGAATTTTTTAGGCTTGCAACACAACTTTATGAGGAAGACCAATAAGTGGAAGGGGCTGTAAATCATCTTTCCTTGTTCTAAAGAATCTAAGTTCTTTAATGCTTTTGTAATATTTGGAGCTACAGCTTAAAATAATCTTATTTAAATGTAATTAACGTACCATACCCTATTACAGTGATGTAAGCACTGGTATAATTGGAATAGGAGTGAATTTAAGTAATTTGAGATGACAGGTTTCTGGTTTAATGAGTCTTCCCACAAAACACTGAATCAGGAGAGAGCTTTGTTACCCTTGGCTGCACCTATTATACTCATCAGTTTTAAATTGAGAAGCCTTTTCCATGATTTGTTGCAGCATGCTGAGGAAGTAAAAGGATTGCTGCTGATGATGCTTAAAATTAACCTTGATTCAGTGCAAATTAGTGATTTCTGTCATTTATAGAAGTGCATTATTTGAGTAATAGGTTAATATATATAATAATCCTATTACCAAAGAACAGAGATGTAACATTTTTGTTTGATTTTCCAGTTGTAGTTGAATTTATTGCAATTAGTCTTAAAAGCAGATGGGCTAAAGATATGGCTTCATCACTCTCTTTGTGGTTTAAGAATTGTTTTGTATGTACCTGTGGTTTAATAGCATAAACAAAAGTTCTTCCACAGCAGTCTTCATTGCCAGACTGCTTTTTAGAATAATGATGAGTAATAACACTCGACATAGCATTACTAGTTGTTTCATACTCTCGTACACACGTTAGGCGAAGCTGCCAAAGATTTTTTTGAATCTTGTAGCTCTTGCGTGGGGCGTATAACATACAGCTATGATCTAGTAATAACTTAAATGTATGCAACAGTTCTTCATAATTGATAAATGGGGAGCACCTGATGTACATTTTGAATAATTTGGTTAATAATTTTATGACTGCTTTGGGCTCCCCTAGGGCATTGCAGTTTTTTATTTGTTGCTTTCTTTGAGATTCTCATCTTTATATTCCTCTGTCCTTTTTCTTTCTGTGCGCCTCTTCCGGCCTCTGGACAATGCCATTCTTCCTCTCTTTCAGAAAGAGTTTGTGACATGCAGGACTGGCCAGTGACATCTTGACTTATGAGCACACCTCCAGTTTCAGCAGCCACTTCTCTAAGATATGATGCTGTCAGGAACCCTGGCCACTTAATGAAGGGGGAGATTTGAGAGATATAGCACCTGACCCCACCTCCCCTGTATTTGCTCAGCACAGCTGGGGGACACGGGGTCTGTTATTCCTCATAATTGCTGGCTGTCAGAAACCATTAGTGTAGGAGTACTTCAGCAGTGTTAGACTAGCAGGCCTGGGGAGTCAGCTGGGAGGAAAGAGGAAGGCTGGCAACAGATGGATGGAAAACAAGGCATGTCTGCCTCCCGCTGTCACTCCATCCTTCAGACCAACTTCCCTACCGGGGCTTGTAGTTTTCTTTTTCCCTCCACAACCTGACCTGTTGTTAAAAACTGCGCCCAATAGGTAGGAGCGGTTTTAAAGAGTGGTCCATCTCCAAAAAAACAGCTGCTCTGTTTTTTCTGTGCCCACCATCTCTTAAAGTTTTGCCTGCATGGGACCGCTAGCAGCTCTTTTTTTAAATAATTAATTTCTAATTTATTTCTTCCGCAGTACTGTCATGAGATTGGCAGCTACCACACAGGTGCTCATGCATAAAGTACATCCAGACTTTTAAAGGCCATTCTGTTAGATTAAGGCTTTCTGCTTGAAGGAGTACATTTTATGAAATAAGAGGTAGTCAATTTTCCACAAGGAGGGAGCCAATGTGGAAATGTTTCAGCCGAGTTATAATAGATCAATTAATCAACTATACTTAACTATACTAACTGCTTATGAAAAGTACTAACCCCATTGGATATTTTATCCTTTTCAATATTCAGTAAAAATTTGACATTAAAGGGGTTTACACAATTTCTTTGTCAAAAAATCTAATTTTGTCGCTGATATTGAAAAGGAACGAAAAAGGGAAAGTAGAATACTATTTTGTAAGCTCTGTAAGATAATTTATATTTAAATATATGTATTATTTCCTCTCCAGAATGTGATCTTTCCTGGCGCAGGAGATGAAGGGATTAATGAGTACAAGTCTGTCGTCTACTACCAAGTAAAGCAGCCGAGGTGGTTTGAAACGATAAAGGTGGGTCTTCAACATTAACACTTTACTAACTCATCCATTAATCCCAAAACACTAAAACAAAAATTAGCATAGAGGAATGTGGAACACTGAAATATGTGTTCTCATGCATACCAAAGTCCCACCCTCCTGTCCTATTCTTCATCTCAGGTTGCAATCCCCATCGAAGATGTAAACCGAAGCCATCTGCGGTTCACCTTCCGCCATCGCTCATCGCAGGATTGTGAGTATAAATCTCAACTATTGAAAAATGCATTTTTCAGATGACCAGGTGTACAATTGGCTGCTAATCTGCTTACAACACACCTAATGGAAGACATGCAGCTCCAGCAGATGCATTGCACAATGATAAATACATTGCTACTTACCCTTTGTCACATTAATCAGAAGTAGTAGTTTGCCTCTGCATAAAGCAGCACCATGGAATGGTTTGTCAGAGGCTGCAGCTGCGATGTGAAAATGCCTAACGGGGCTTTATTTATCGAGGGCAGTGTACAGTTGAATGCAACTACTGTTGCATTTCATTTTTTCACTTTTTCTTTACTTTAGGGGTGTAAAGGGCAGGCAATAGACACGCTGCTTCATTTATCTTCCAAATGGAAAAGGTCTTCCCTCTGACATCAGAAAGGCTTTGGAGGAGTAAGAAGAGACTTAGGGAAGTGGTACCCATCCCCTAATCTTCAGCTGGTGTAATCATCCATTTCCAAAATCACCTCGCTGTGTTTGCTTCTCACCTGCAAGCAGGTGCTTTGGAGAAAATTGCCAGGTCTCAGAGCTCTGTGCTGGCAGCTAATCCACTTGGAGAGCCTTCTTGTCATGCACACCTTGGTTCTGTGGAAACTAATGCTGTTAGGAGGCTTGCTTTTCAAAGTCTGTGATTTGCTGCTATCTGGCTGTAATGGTTACTTTAGAAACTCTCCTCAAGTTACTTTGGGACTGCGGAAGCATAGTAATGCTGCTAAACTTTCAATTCTCACCGAGAGCTCATAATAGTGTTGGAAGAAGGTGCAACAGCTGGATTCTTGAAACCAATGTATTATTGTTCATCTAAACTGACTTGGCAAAAAAATGCATTAGAACCCAATGCTACCTCTGGAGGAACTGCAGAGATTTATAGCTCAGGTTGAGCAATTTGACAAAAGACCCATAACGCAAAATCCCCACAGTGAAAATCTCAGTCTCCACAAAATAAAATGTTCATATCCCTAAACAGTTTCTGCTGCAATTGCAGCAAGTATTGATTAAGGGTTTGAATACGGATACACACTACTGCACTTTTCATATTTTTATTTGTAAGATTTTGAAATGCATGCATAATATTCCCTCCTTTTGGTCTATCGCATAAAATCCTAAAAAATTACCGTTTACTTTCTAGTTATGTGAAAAGTATGAATATTTTTGAAAGTATGAATATTTTTGAAAGGCACTGCATGAACTTGATTTTTTTCCTGAAATTTATGAAAGCTCTTAACTTTAAATGTTGTGTTTAAAGAAAGTTTATTTTTCCAAATATAGTGAAATAGTCGCATTCTATTGCTTTCAGTGTAGTTTTTCTAAAGCAGAGTTATTTCTGCTTAAGAAAAATACTTAAGAAAATACTTTTCATTCACTTGTGGTTTTATAGCCAAACAGAATTTATTCTTTGTACTCTTCAGTATCTCATTCAGAAACCTTTGAGACAAAATGCAGAGTCTACATTAGCTTTTGATATATGCAGTGTTTTCTTATGAGAAAAGTACATTTTCCTTACTGAAGATAGGAAGCACAGAGATGGTCTGCCAGCACTTAGAAATGTGTGCCTCTGCTGTCATGTTGTGTCCTTCCTGCTTCCTCTGCTGTACTCCTAGCAAGTGCTGAGCATTTTGTGGGAACGCAAAGTGACAGAGCTGTTCATCAAGGCCACTAGTGGAGTTCATGCGCTCTCTATTCTGAGTCTGCTCTCTGTTGAGAATAAGGCCAGCTCTCAAGCAGTGCCTCAGACTACCCCTGTAACATTGTCAGGCCTCATCGGACATATGGAAGCCATCACAAACCACACCTCTGCTGCAGAACACAGCTGCCATCTTTTCACTTGTTTTTCATCTATCATTAAAATGTACTATGCTGTCCGCATGGAGGAAAAGTGAACTTTATGTTATTGATAGACCCACACAAAGGTGCAGATGAACATGAAGTGGAAAGAAAGTGAAACCAAAAATAGAGTCCACTTGTGTGTAATATTCTCAGCTCTTTTGTGAAGCCCTCAGAAGGTGACTCTCTGGGACAGGGGTGCTCAAGTCCAGTCCTTGAGAGCTACCACTCTGCAACTTTTAGATGCGTCCTTACACCAACAGATCAGGATCACCTCTGAACAGACCTGCTAACGAGCCATTCATTTGATTCAGGTGTGTTGTAGCAGGAATAATTTATCCAAAGACGAGGACAAACGGGCATTCCGTGTCAGCTGTAATAGCTGTGTAGCTGTAATTTGCCTTAAAAAAAAAGAGAATCCTCTGAAATGTTTAGAAATATATGTATTTTTATAACTATTTTGATGGAAACTTGGAGATTTCCTAGTTTTAGGTTTTCGAAGAAAAAAAAATTCAAATGACAAAAACCAAACTACAATCAAATCAGCTGAGTTTTTGAAAATGTTAATGGAAACTTAAAAATGATTAGTGGCCCAATTGGCTGAAATGAAAAACAGATTTCTTGTGCCTTTTGCATCATTCTGTTTTAATGTAATACATAAAATCTGACAGATGAGCTGCATTAGCATGCTTTATCATAATATTTTATGTCCGAGTAACTGCAGAGGGGCAAGGGAGTCTCATACAGCTGTGGAGTTGCGGGTTTCATACTCCTAGTTTTGATTAAAGTAAATTTATATTAAAATATTCCAGTCAAAGTTCAGACCTAAATCCAATTGAGAATATGTGACAAAGCCTGAACAGTGATGTTTACAGGTGCTCTACATCCGTAAACAGCTTGAGATAATATGGGACGAAGAATGAGCAAGAGTTTCAGTCTATGGTTTACCCAGAAAAACCTGCAACTGTAAGAGCAATGAATAGTTGATTTACAATCAGACAACAAACTTTTGAGGTTTTTCAATGGAGGAGATTGAAAACCATGCAAGGTTCCCAAATATGCACAGCTTTGTCAAGGTCTGCCACTTTGTTGTAATTGTAAAGTGTGGGAAAGCCCCTAGAATGCCAGTACTTGCGCATGGACCTGCACATCAGGTGATACTGGGCAGCATCCACACAGTTTTTCCCCTCCACTGGTTCCTCGCTGCCCAGCAATTATTCATAGCTGGAAATGCAGGCAGCAATGAAGGGATTTATGCACATAGAATGCGACATATATTTTGATGAATCGCATCTCTGCGAGTAAATTTGAGCTTGTTGATTCACCATGATGAAATGTGGTTCTCACCAAATGCTTGGTTAGAGGACAAAATCATAATTCTCTTCCTTGTTTGTACAGCATGCACTACACTGATTTGTGTGAGAGGAGTTTTCACCTTTTCTTCATTCTAGTGGGATAACTCAAGCTGTTTGCAGGTGTTTCTCTCACTCACAACTAGCTGTTAGGACACTAACAAGAAAAACATGCAATATGCTTTGACCCAAGCTGTTTTTCTCTGATGTTGTTTCATGGTTTTAGCAGCTTATTGTCAAACAGAGACTGAATATTTTAACTTGAATTTGCATCTGCCAGTCTTTTTTGCTGCCAAGTGCAACCCAAACTAATATATTCTCTGTGTGTATGACTAGTTTTATTTTTTTGGGGAAAACAGACAGTTTGTGCAAAGACACAAGCGTAGGATCAACTAAGACATTGAACAAGTTTGAATAGCAACTTCTTTTGCCCACTCAAGAGTTGAGGGAGGTACTGTTGTGCTGAGATGATCTTTTTTATTTTGTTTATTGCTTGTAAAATCAGCAGTCCTTAATAGTTTTCTGCTGTGGAAACTGCTTTGCGTAAGCTTTCTCAACTAAGCATGCATTCATGTAAACAGATTGTAGGCACATGTATGAGATTTGGTGTGTTAGTTTGCAAATTTGCACGAGAAACACAAACTCTTTGGTGCAACATCATCAATATTTTCTGCAGGCTGTCAGATTTCTGTTTATTCATGTGGTTTTTTTTTTTGTTTGTTTTTGTTTTAATCTTCTTTTTATCCTCCCACAGCCAAAGATAAATCAGAGAAAATCTTTGCCTTGTCCTTTGTTAAACTCATGCGGTATGATGGGACCACTCTGAGGGATGGAGAGCATGATCTCATTGTGTATAAGGTAAATGCAGAAATATCCTCTGACACAGTTTTGAAGCCGCACTGCTCCGTGTCTGCTCTGTCTTTGACTGATACAGCAGCAAGAAAAATCATAAAAATAATAGATTTAATATACTTAACAATGTCAAATTAACATTTGAGAAACACCTTTTGATAAAAAAAGACAAACTCAACAGCTTAAAACCATGGCACACATACACACACAATTTTTTTTATTTTTATTGAGAAACTGTCCATGTCTTATCATTAAAAACCAGGCAGAAGCTAAGAAGCTGGAGGATTCCTCCGTTTATCTAAGCCTTCCTTCCACTAAGCTGGAGCTGGAGGAGAAGGGTTACGCCACCACTGGCAAAAACTTCCAGAACCTCGGGACCTGCACCATCAGCAAGGACTCCTTCCAGATCGCCACCCTGGTCTGCTCCACCAAACTGACACAGAACGGTAAGACACTCAAAATGTCTCATTGTTCTATTGTCGGAAATCAAGTATATACATCATTTCTGTAATCAATGGCTTAAACTAAAGGATTTAAATGAGCAATTATCAAAAATGTTCTACTTGACAGGTGAACTGTCAAGTTTGCTTCAGTTAAATTAGATTCACTGATTAAAATTTGGAGATTTTAATCCATACCTTTAGAATGTAGGATTCGGCAGCTAAATTCCTGACAGTCTCACTAAGCCCTTACTACTTACTTGTTTTGGCTGTACAAACAGTATGTTTTCAGATAAATTTTTGGACTCAAAAAAGGGATTCCCCTCTCATCCTGCTCTCACTTTGACCTACTTCAATTCCCTCAGCTGGTATTGTCCAGTTTCAGCGAGTTGTTTTAAATCCATTTTTTGCTGAATAATCTTTGAATTTATTCTATTTACTACTGCCAGTCTGTCAGTGTTTCTCTTTCTCTCCCCCGAATGTCCCACGATTCAGAGAAAATCTACACTTACTAAGCTAAGGAAATCCCCATCTCTGCCCTTTGGCTTACGGATTAAAGATTCTGGCTTCTTGTGTTCCCACCAGCTTTCAGACATGTTTATAAATCCCTGCAGGCATCAATATAAACCCTTTTGGATGCTCTGGCATTTCCAGGGTGTGTTCATAACACCACTGTTGTCTCAGTGCAGACTGTAAAGAGCTGTTTCTCTGTCTGAGCGGTCAGATGCCTCTCAGTTTGTTTAAACAGAACCCTCATCAGTGGCTTCTTTACATGTTCGCCTTGTATGTTCTTCTTCATCCAACAGCTGACTCAGACATTGCTTTGTTTATAAATAAAGATCTATCAAAGAGGAATCTACCTTATATACCGACTTTTCAGGAAAAAGGAAGACATTTTCTAAACAAAAATGTACAATAACCTTTATGCCGCTGTAATAATCCTTATTAATGGATATCACTGTCAGCAGTGCTTTGAAAAAAAGATTATTTTCATTGTCAGGCAGATATCCCATCTATGCTGGGATCCAGAATAATGTAAGAACCTTCACTGACCTTGTGGCTCATATAGGCAATATAATGAAATAGAAGAAAGGAAAAGAAAAAAAACACATTTGTCTTTGTTGCTTGGCTGGAACTTTGGGAAAGCTAAACTGAGGTTCATGAAGTTCCGGTAATAAGGCCACTGCGGACCAGAGAATGCAATTTGATTAGATCCCCAGCACAAGGGAAAAATTTTGTTGTGAAAATGCTTCTTTACATCATGTGCAAGTCGGGAAGGGGTGTTCCCTGCTGCTGCAGTAATATCCCCTCCGAGACTTGTTAAGTTCAGTCTGTGGTATAAGTTGTCATTTAAATACAGTTGACTGAGTGCCCTCCTACTCCGCTCAGGGGGTGGTGATGTAAGGGTGTGAACAGTCTCAGCTACAAAAGCAGTGACTAACTCACATTGATTACATGCAGCTGATGAGCAAAATTATTATTTTAAATTGTTTTCTGTAATGTTGACGTGTATATTCTGATTAGAACTATTCCAGGTTGGTGTTGTCTTTTTCTTACGAGATGGTTACTGAGGTTAAAGCTGTGTTCTGACAGTCAAATGATCTTTTTGTATTGCTTTTCTCATTTTGACCAAATTTCATGAATTAGAATAACTCAAAAATAATGCATAAATGAACGTAATACATGGGTCCCATATTTCTTTACTTAGAAAAATCTGCAAGGTTTGTTTTGCATTTGCATTCAACCTTCTTTATGCTAAACCCCCACTAAATAAAACCTCATGCAATTTATGGAGGTGCATATGTTTCAGATCATCCAAGTTGACATGAACATCTGTGAGAAGTTGCGAAAAACAAAATCTGAAGTTGAAGAGATAAATATTTACGAAATTATAAAGTTTACAATATTAATATCATCCCAAATTACTGTTTCAACACTGGAGCATTATGCACATCTGAATGCGCCTCTTTTGAATAGACACATTCTTTCATTCTCCACCTCTTTGTGGTCTTGATTTGCGATTAGACAACCTTAGCATAGATAGATGTGAAAAGCTAAGAAAAAAGGTTGTCTAATGTATCTTAAGACATTTCAGCTTCATAAAAGTAAACTGCCGATATAATGTTACTACCTGCAATTCAAAATTCCAAATTTTATAATAAAAAAAACATAATTTATAAATGTTACATCTAAGTTAAAAACACAAAAACAAAACAAAAAAAAATGGGGTCATCAAGTAGGCAAATTTGCTTGATTTAAATTTAATGAAGTAAGGTTATTATGGTTTTAAATCTAAATCATTTTGCTGCTCTTCTGTTCCTCCTTCCATCTTCAATAGTGTCAACTTTTTAAAACAAGACTGCCTGAGAGAATAGATTTAGACTTTGAAAGGGGACGAAGCGTGCATTAATCTGCAGACCATGCAAAATAAAACATCTGGAAAAACCTTTTTAAAATAGTTTAGATAGTTTTGAGCCAAAATCTAAACTGACCAATACGTTTATTTAATTGCACTGCTGTACCTTTGTGGACAAGAACTTTGCTTCTACTACAACTACATATGACAGTTAGACAGAAAGACAGTTAAAGATAAAGTTCACATTAAAGGAGCCATTTTTCAGGAATGATCATTTAATTTATAAATCATTTTTAAAAATCATTTTTACACACTAGAAGTTAATGGATAAAACAATTCACAAAACAGAAAAAAAAAGTAATTTAATTCTACTTTGAGCTTTAGATAAATACCCTCTGCATTTTAATTTCCTTCCTGTACTGTGAAACATTTTTTTAACATAATTAATACCCTCCCCACTTCTAACTAGTTGGTCTCAAAAGGGTTTGTTCTGACTTATGCAAAGGGAGGAAAAACGAGCACTTCAGTGCCCCTATCAACAGTCTGCTTGCTTTATACACATGACACTTCATCACTGATGCCCACAGGCAAGATAAAATACTCATTTTAATTAAGCTGGTTTGATGCAGACGGTCTCTCCGTGCAGAAAGCTGGTGTGAAGTGGCTGCTGGTTGGTCCCTGGATATTTCCAGGATAGTTGACTTCATGTAGGAGGACTGATGGTGGCAGCACTTGGAGAGAACATGGCTCTGTGAAAGTTTCTGCCATTTTCACCTTAACTGAAAAGCAATGTTCTCATCAAAGCTCTCTAGAAACAGAAAATATATGTTTAAATTGTCTGAATTTACTTTAATGGAATGTGGAATTATTTTAGGAATAATTGATTTTCATGAATGAACAGCACTGTTTAATCCATGCATTTGTTCAGCAGATGCCAGAAATCGTTCAGTGAAGCAAGATGTTTCATAAACATTAATTATGAGTTAATGGGAAGTAATTTGCATTTAAGTTGTGCAGTGACACTGTAACGGATTTTGCTGAAATTAATTAACCCACCACCCTCCATCTGCCGGTTTGGTCTAATATTTTAAATGTGGGGTCCTGTGGAAGCATCTTTTATGAAACAGATGGTGTTTATTGAAGATGCTCAGTATTCCTTTATTTTCCCCTTATTTTTTGAAAACAAGACCGATTTTTCTAACATTTAGCCAGTTTGGCTAAATGTTCCCCCGAGGCCCTAAACTGCCAATGAGTTGTCCTCATTGTGTTCAGTGCGTGACTCTTAGGAGATATTCTATCGATTTCCAAATCCATGTCTTTTTGGAGAGTATGATATGTGGACACCTGGACAGACCATTGTGACTGAAGCATGATAAGCTGTAAGGTTTACAGATGATAGATATCCGTCATATGCTCCCATGCTTGATTGACTACCAATAATCAGCTGAAACAGAGCTGCAAGGGATGATGGTGCCAGAGATACTGGTAGGATGGACTGTGTGTACACAACCCTACACAATCATTGGCACCACTGCCAAAGATTTGTAAAGAAAAATGACAAAAAAAGACGCAAGACGAAATAAAACCATTCAAATCAATTTGACATTGTTGACAATATTAAAATACACGGCTATAATCTTTAAACAACAAATAAAAAAAATTACATATATATAATTCAAATAAATATAGTTGTTTTCACATCTGTTAAATCCCAATTAGGTAATGAGCCAGTGGATTTTAAAACACTCTGTAATGCTGGTCACATTTAGAGCAGGCCCAAGGCATAACTGAACTAAACAGCTGCTGAAAGCCTGCCAGACCTTCAAGGGCCCCATGAATGCTAACATTTTAATGTGACTCACAGATATAGAAATTTAACATTTTTTTATTGAGAATGATGTTTGTTACAGTAACTTCAGTCTGATTTTATGAGTTTAATATTTGATTTTGAGCTCTGTTTGTTCTCAAATACAATATATTTGGGAATTTATTTTATTATCTCAGTAAAGTATAATTATCACTGAGTGCTTTTAAGTTTGGCCAATAAAATTATATTGGCCAAACGATATTCAAGAATTTGACCTTGTATCTAATGGAATAAATGATCCTATAAATGGTCGGTTGAGATAGTGACCATAACAATAACTTGCTGTATTTATAGATGCTGCTCTTGCAGGACTTTTTTGTTTTGGAGCTGATATGTGACCCTACTAGCCACCAATCTTTCTAATATGTGGCTGGCAGGGCTTCTCTAGGTTTGTAAGACGGTATTGTATACACTGAGATTGTGTCTCTTGGTCCAGTTATAAATCGTTTCATAATGAGCTGACATAAAGGTATTCTCTAAGCCTCTAATTTGATCATCCACCAAATGAATGTAATTAATCAGATTGTGACTTATTCATTTGTTCTAATATTTAATTATCCCCCTTTAAAATAAGTGATCTGATAAATTAATAAACATTGCATTTAATGAAATTTGCATTTGCATCCCAGACTCATTCATTTTAATTCATTCAGCTTTGAAAACCACTGGAAATAACTTTTTTCCTTTCTTTTGTGACTGATTGTTGGATAAAACCAATGGATTCTGCTCATACATGTTATCTATTTGCTTGTTCCAGTCGACCTGCTCGGCCTGCTGAAGTGGCGCTCCAACACCAGCCTCCTGCAGCAGAACCTCTGTCAGCTGATGAAGGTGGACGGTGGTGAAGTCGTGAAGGTCAGAGCTAAATCAAATGCCTTCATTTGTTTTATATTTTGTGGATTTTGGAAAAGGTTTGTATTTCTTGTGGGCTTTATACTTCTTAAGTATCCTGACATCCAGCAAAAATAAACAATCCAGTCACAAACCAATCTTTAGTGGCCGTGAAAGTGACAGCTTCTTGGCAGCAATTTTACTTCAGTTTTCTCTCCCTGTCGGGGGGATCAGATTGTCTTTTTACAATTTTTTTTGATGTCTCCTAGGGAGGAGGCAGTACATAGCACCAGACCCTGCTTATAAAAGGGAAGATGACTCACTGTCAGATTCATAGTCATGCCATTTTAAGTGCTCAACATGGGGCAGATGAATAAATCACGTTGTACCGAATGCTTTAAGATGGGCTGTTTGGATGGCTTCAGATCACAGAGTGTCTGTGGAAGCCCGACTATCTTCCCTATTTAAAACAGTCAATAAATAAAGCATTTTTATTATTAGCACTCAGTCTTTTCAAAATATCTCACAGCCTTCAGTTGGCAGTTTTTTTTAAAAAAGTACAGTTTTTCTTTTAACACTTGACGTATATTGACATATATTGTTGAAAGCATGGAGTGCATAAATAACAGTTCAGGGCCGTTTCTATCCAAATGAATGGCTCATCTAATATAACCCATACTAAACCTAAGAGTCAAGAAAAGGGCAGAATTTAAGTATTCTGCCCACAGATTTTAATATCTGTGTTGTTGTTTGAAAGTTGTATCCATGGACTAATTTTGTATCATTAAGCCAGACTTTTAGATAAGTACTTTCAAATAAATTCATCTAGAATTTTATTTATTTGTGGGTAATTTGTTATTTTTGTGGTCTTAAAAATAATCTCAGATGATGTAAGTTTGGAAAAATGTGGATTCTGGTGCTAAAAAAATGTCTGAACGCTGGTTTAAGCTCCCAGCTGGGCGTGTTACGTTTGCTTCTCACTGACAACATGATTAGCCTCATTCATCCAGCAGTGACAGACCAAGCACAATACAGTGACTGTCACTTTTTACAACTGTTCTCAGAAATGCCTCAGTTAACGGAGCAAGCAGAGAGAAAGGATATGTATAGTCTGTGTTTCTGAAGGTTATGCTGACAGGAAAATTATTACATTCGTAGTTGAGCCACACCAGCTTGTCTTCATGGCTATAAAGAGGCGCTAATGGGGAGCATGGAGTGCACAGAGTTCAGCTGCTAACTGTATAATTTCCTCATTATTCTGTATAAATGTTTAAAACCCTTTTTTGTTGATTTTATTACCCTGGTCCACCCAGTCAAATTGTGGATGAAGAACACAGGATATTGTCACTATATTATGAGCCAATAGACAAGGGCCTTGTGTTTAAAAGGAAGCTCACTCTTTGCCCCCTTTAAGTTTTTCTTCAACAGACAACAGAGGAATGAAACCACAAGACACCAACCTTTCTGTGCTGGTTTAGGCTATATGATGTTAATTTAACAGTTTTACCCGCAGATTGAATTTTATGTGACTGTAAAAAGCATTTACTTCAGAAACATGGGAATGTCTCTAAATATGGATCCTATTTATTTATATTTGCAGCTAACGGGTCTGTCCATTAAATGATTTCTTTATAAAAAGGTGTGTTAGCATCTCTACTGCTGTGTTGTAGCCAAGAAATAGTTTGAGGTGATCATAACCTTAATTAAAATGTTTTTTTTTTTTTTACAAAATTTACACAAATATTTGCCACAAAAATGCCAAGCATCAACAGCTATTCTAATCTTAATAATATAATATATTAGATACTATTTGTATCTAATATTACAAACAGTAATTTTTTCTGTAACAATTTTTGCTGGTGTAAATTTCTATAATTTTCTGCAATAACCTGCTGCCTTTTGTGTCAGTTTTCAACTAACTGTGCTAAAAAATGTTAGATTTTTTTATTTTTTTTGCCCACTACCCTTAGTAGTTGTGCAGGTGTTCTTGTCGATCCTTTCCCTAACTCTGACTAAACCTTTCACACATTATCGAAATGTCTGAAAGGTTACAATGACTTGACACTCAAATAATTGGGTTAAAGGGTTGTGTGAACTTCTTAGTTATTCTATTGTAAATAATTAACATGAGTTCACTGATTTCAAGTAACAGTAAAATTGTGTCTTCTGATTAGATATTAGATTGTATTAGGCTGACTAGTTGAAATAATTTTTCTGCATTTAATGCTTCCTTCTGTTAACGTCCTGTGCATTTCTTTCTTTCTAGTTTCTGCAAGACACACTGGATGCTCTCTTCAACATAATGATGGAAAACTCTGACAGTGACACTTTTGATACATTGGTGTTTGATGCCTTGGTAAGCACAGACTACAAAAAGAAGAACACAACATAATTTATGATGGAGATCCTGTCAGTGGAAATAAACATTTGGAATACATTTGTGTCCCACATACAAATAATAAATGATGTGAAACTTTTCATGTGCTCAAATGCCCTTTGGCAGACATCCCTCCACTGCTTGTGATGCATTTTGATCTCCGGAAAGATCTGTTGTATATTAAATAACTTGTTTTCAACCAAACGCAAACAGTCAAAAAAGAAACAAAATTACTTATGCAGTCATAGATTTAAAATATGGTGAAATATATTTTAGAGAACAATATGAACTGTTAGGGTGAGTCTATGTAATCTTGCTCACCCTGCTTTTGTGGCTTATTCTTTTTATAGGGATGTAAATAACCATTTGTCTTGGTTACCTTCTTCAAGATGCTAACATGTCATTTATGTATTAAAATTCAGGATTTAAAAAAAATGTTTATGTGGTGTTGGACTTATTAGAAAAGCTGCAAATCATCAACTTTTGCTGAACTACAAGCATGAAATGTTTCACTCTAATGAATCGATACAATGTCACTAATGCTTTCAAATGAAATCTGAAAAATGTTAACCTTTTCAATAATTTATTTACTAAGTTTCGCCTGTTGTTGTCTAGTTCTGCTTTAGTTTTGTAGGTGTTACAAGTGTCTCAAATCCATTTTAAAACAATTATGATTTCTGATTAATAGGTTTGAATCAGAAGGGTCAATTCTTTCTTCAAGTCGTGTCAGACATTTTTACAAAACCCCGAAAGAAGTGATCACATACTACTTGCATCTTGTTTGCTGTGAAATGCAGTATATTTTGCTTTTAATACATAACCGAGTATCGTACTGAATCCCATCTCGCGTGCCATTGGTCAACAGCTGGAGGTCCATCTCAGAGAGTTTTTCTCTTTCTGACTATGTGTGCGGGGATAAATTGTGTTATTTGGGGATTTTAGATTATCGTCGGCCAAGGGAATTGAGAGAAAATAGCATTCTGCTCCAAGCCAATCTTGTGTAATTTCCCCATCTCTTTCAACATATTGAGTAAGACAGGTAATGTTTGGTGCTTTTCATTACGAGATTCATGGGCTTACATTTTAATGAGAGTGTCTTTTGTTCCCCGACAGGTGTTCATAATTGGACTTATAGCAGACAGAAAGTTCCAGCACTTTAATCCCGTTCTTGAAACCTACATTCGCAAGCATTTCAGTGCTACACTGGCTTACACGTAAGTTTGTCTTTCTACAAGTGTTTTCTGTTTCAGAAACAGTCTGCCCAGTCAGAGTTCACTGCTAAATCAATCTCACTTTAGATACAGTTTGTTACCTACTGAGCAGCACCTCACAGCCAGCTCTTTGGCTGTAAAAAGCTGGCTGTGAGGTCAGCTATTTATATTTACAGCTATTTATAGCTGACCTCACAGCTGTAATCTAGAATCTTTTATTCTAGATTAAAGATTCTTGATCTAGAATGTATTCTAATCTAGATTATATTCTAGATTAAAACTTCATTTAATCTAGAATAAATTTCCCCAAAACAAACTTCCACAATTTCTCAGTGGAGGCTTAACACTCCTCATCAAAGTTTCTTTAATTACGTCCATTTGTATTTTACAAATTCTTTCTGAAAAGATATTAACTTATTGCCACCTGTAATGTTTACCAATACCAGTTCATCAGCGCCATTTTTTTCCTTTTGTGACACCATCATCTCAGCTATACACAAATTAAAATTAGTGTTTTTTTTCTTAATCTTACTATTTAAAAACGGTGTTTTTGGAAATCCTGCTCAGAAAATCCATGGCTTTTTACTCATGTGTGTATTTTTTATTTATTTTTTTAGTGCTCATCTGTTTGTGAAAATAATACACTACTGCATGTAATCTTTAAGTTGCCATGTATCATGCTTGCAGAAAACTGACCAAAGTTCTGAAGAACTATGTGGAGAATGCTGAGAAGCTGACAGAACAGCTGCTGATGGCTATGAAGGCTCTGGAATACATCTTCAAGTTCATTGTGCGCTCCAGAGTTCTCTTCAACCAGTGAGTATTAGGGCATTGATACTAATATAACGTGTTGTATTAATTAATTGATTAATTATTAGTTAATATGGAAAAAAATAATGTAGTCCTGTCAAACCAAGCATTTTATGTACCAGCAGCCAGTAAATTAAGGCAGGTCAGCTTTGAATGCCATGTCAGATTCCACTTTATGCAGTATAATTAAAAAATGTATTAGAATAGAAATAATGTACAATGTAAACAGCATCACTTTTAAATAGTTTTTTCATCTAATGCTGTTAGGAAATAAACTGCTGCATGTATTAATTCGAGTCGATGTAATCTTGCTCACCCTGCTGGCCACAGATCTGATGTGTTTTGCAGTCCTGCTGAGCTCAGTTTGTACTGCAGCATTTCCTCAGGCAACCTAACTTTTCATTAAAGCTTTAATTGCACAAATAAAAAATGAATCAAAGTTTACTTCATGGTGGTTTGTGTTAGGTTTTTAGGCTTAAAATGTGTATCTCAAGCAGTTATTGGATGACAGGCGTTGTACAGCCCAGGCAGGTTACCAGTCCATCTCAAGACAACACAGAGACACACAGGACAAACAAATACCAAAGAAAGATGTATGCAAACCTCTGACTATAAATTAAGTTGAAATAAAATTCTCCAAATGCTGAAAAAATATTAGAAATCCTAACTGACCTAAACAGGAAGCATTTACTTTGATGTCTCAAGTAAATGAAATTTGGGAATGTAAAATTTCTGAAAGGCATAAATAGATTGATGAACAATCAAGTCTATTATTGCATGACGGTGAACTCATCTATCCATCAACATGTTATGCTCCTTCAGTTTCTTTATAGCTGCAGTCACAATAAAGCTCAAACAGGCAAAACTAAATGACATTTTAGTCATTTCTGTTGATCTATTTATAATTGGTTTTGGGGATGTTTAATGGAAGATGGGATTGTTGTGTGACAGAAAGAAGCTGTTGGTGGGATGATGTATGATCCTGGACTAATTGAGTGTGCAGCGTTTGATTGGTTTCCTGCCCAATGTCTGGAGGACACAGTGCCCTCTAACTCTCATGTTCGGAGTGTGTGCCAGAGCAGAAACAGAGTCAAAATTCTTCCTAATGTGGAAAATTGGGTTAGTTGAAGCTCTCACTCTGCAGCCCTTGATGTACAGGTGCCAAGTCTCCATTGACTGGGTCTTACTTATTTTATTTTTTTAATGATGTCTAGTGGAACATATCTGTAAAATTGGAGAGGAGCACCTTAATCACAGAGTGACATGAGACTGCCCAGAGCCCCCTGAGCTCCTCAGTGCTGCGGGTGAGCAGCAGCTTTAAGTAATTGTTGTAGAGGGAGCTCTGAGACGCACGCCTCTAATCCCATGATTTCTGTAAGCCCTCAACAGTGACTCTCCCATACCATGTAATGCCTGGAGCCCTGTGAGATATTATAGCATCACTAGACCCACCGGCATGGAAGAGAGCATGGAAAATCTAATGTACTCTGAGCAGTTATAGCAGTTCATCTGTCTTTGACCTGTAGCCTTTAGAGTGTATATAGTTTTTGTTCTACTTATAAGCCTTGATTTTATTACTTTGCATCAAGTAGAGCTTTGGCTTTTCCCACTACATCACCAGTTTGGGAAGATTTATGAGCTCTGTAAGTGGGAAATAAACAAACTGTGGATTTAACACAATTTCCCATAACAAACCAGCAGAAGGAACACATTAGTGCAACTCAGTAAATTAGAATATCATTGAAAAGTTAATTTATTTCAGTAATTCAAGAAGAAAGAAATTCCAATAGATTAATTACAAACAGACAGATGTATTTGTTTCACATGCTGATAATTTTTCCTCACCAGCTGATAAAGACCTAACATTCAGTTTTTACACACACACACACAGATAGTCAATGATCATATCCCTGACTCTGTTGCTTTGCTTTCCAACCATATGGCCAGATTTAGTAGCAGCAGAAGCAAAAATGCCATCAGTTATTGCCAACAACTGATGGCATTGTCCTGGACATGTCACTGTGAAATATCATGTCAGAATATGAACTGTTAACATGTCAGAACAATTATACAGCACCAGTTTTCAGTCAGAGGCTTCATTTGTTGCCAGAGTGACTGGTGCTGGAGATCCTTCCCTCCCAGAGCATCACCATCCACCACAAATCTTTGAAGATATTTGGTTTTAATTTTATTTCCCTTTGGGATCAATGATATCTATTCTTTAATTGAACTGAATTAAATCAACAGACTGCTGACTTTATAGTGTCCAGCAAATGCTACAGAAGCATTTTAATGGAAAGTTTAGTGGAGCGGAAAGATGTGGTAGAAAACTGCGCATAAGCTACATTGGTGTTCCTCAGTTCCACTTCTAAGCCATAATCATCACAAGTAAAACAAACGAGAGGCTTTAAATATATTACAGTGTGTGTGTGTTGTGAATTTCTTAGCTGAAGATAAGAAAGCAAAGACTCAACACATAATTTTCCTCTCCTTTTTGTTGACTGGTATTCCCGGAGAGATGTGAGCATAGATCTTAAATTTTTCAGATTTCTGTTTCCACATGACAGAAGGTAGGGGCTTCTGGGTCTTGTCATGTTTTAAACGCTAATCCATCTGGCAACAGGAGTGATGTCTGTGAGTTCTGATCCGAGAGTGTTTGCATTGATAACGCACGTGCGGGCTTCTCTGCTAACAATGTTTAATGATTTAACAGGGAAGCATCAGACTCCCGTCGTTCCCACCGCAGGTGGGGCCGTTTATGCGGGGGCTGAAACAAACAGCAACCCCCGCCACCGTCTGCCAAACTAACCTGCCGCTTCATCTCCTTGCAGGCTCTATGAGAACAAAGACGAGGCCGAATTCATGAACTCCTTGAGGAGCCTCTTCACATCCTTTAACGACATGATGAACAGTAATTCAGAGAATACTGGCATGGTGAAGGTAGGCTTGTTATCACACGAGTCCTACTGTGTACTATCGCTCAAACTCTCTGCCAGGAAGTGTCTAATGTGGCATGAATAGTAACTAAGTGCTGCTGTGTAAATAGTAAATAAATCTGGAGTGATTAGCTTTGGATGACATATTCTGTGAGGGGAGATGCATGAGTCCTGTTTCTCCCTCAGCAGCTTATTAGGCTCCAATATCAAGATTTCTTTTTACAGATGGTCTCTTTGTCTTCTGTTTACTATGTTCATGCTTCGCTCTTCAGATTTTCTGGATATTTAATCCTTTTTTTCCTTTTCTGTGTTGAAGACTGCACAAAAAACAAGTATGTGTAACTGCTGACATTTAAAAAAAAATATTAGTCATTTTTAGTTAGCATTAAAAGTGTTTGAGTTAAAGAAAATTCAGAAATAAGATATCTCAAGCTGGTTAAGTGTTATTTTAGATTTATAGTATTTAATCTGTATAAAAAGCTGTTCCTAAGGAGCGTTAAGTGCTCCATGGTCCTGCGAAGGGTATAAGTACCACATAATCTGCTTTAAAATCCCCAGTTGCCCATCCCTGGAGTTTAATCTGCCATCCAGCCTCACTTTCCTGAAGCAGGACTTTCACCCGCTTTTTAATCTTTTCCATATTTTGCCTTATTACAGCCAAAAACCTTTGTCCTTTTTTATTTAACATGCCAATAAAAGCAGTTAATAATTATGTAGTGGAAAGAAAATTATTTTTCAATTTTTTTTTCAGAGAAAAAAAAAAGATAGTGTAAATGAGAATTTGTGCTTACTCCTCCTGTTTGTAATTTAATCCGAGTAATAATAAAAACCTCAGGCGGGTTGGGAATAAAGCTGAAGAGAAGTTCTGTCAGACAAGAATAAAGCTCAGATTTTTGCCCTATGTAATACAAAAAACGTTTTGGACAGAAAGATTAACCCTGCCATCACAATATTTAAATTGGTGATGGCAGCATCATGCTAGTTTTTTCAGAAGGGACAGATATGGGATCATTGTCAATAGATAGATCGGGCTGTATGTACGTGATGTCTCCCCCTTTAATGATAAATAAATGTTAGATATTTACTTCTTGAGAATTGTAAAGTTAGGGACTTCAGATAGTCTGCAAATGGCCTCATGTGTCTTCTTAAAGTTTTGGGCAGGGCATTTGCCCAAAGTTTATACCAGATCGTCTTTTTCCTGCTTGGCTTTGTGTTATCACGCACGCACACAAACAATGGTCACAGGGATATTGGCTTTAGAAGCGGCACCTTGCTGCTACTTCCCCAATTCATCCTATAGAAACAAACTTTTTGTTGAATCCATGAATAAAAAATGACAGTGTGAAAGCAGTTGTGTGTCTTTGGACATGTGAGAGTTGAATTCAATCCGTTTGCAACCCGGTGAGGATCAACTTAAAATTGACATGCCATAAAATTTTGACTGTAGCTCCACTATTTCCCTGCTTTTTTTTTATCTAATCTGCCAACAATGTCAACATTTATAGCTGTAAAAGGCTTCCATCTGACTTTGTTTTTTATTTTTCCAATAGTTGCTTCATTTAGATTTTAACATGAACATATTTGAAAGAAATAATTCTCCTTACATAAGAACGCTCATAAAAAATCTTATTTTCTAGTAATAAAATAAAAATGACATAAGTTAATAAAAAGATCTAAAGCTTTGCCATGTTAGCAAAACAATTCCCTAGTTTTTGTGCCGCCTTTTATATCTTTCTTGCATCCTCAGCTTATATATGTGTTGATTTCTGTTGTTTGTTCCTCTATCCGTGTTTGTGATATTCTGCCTTTCGTTTCACTTTGACCTTGCCTGTCCTGATGTCTGGGTCTCCCCTGGCACTCTGCTCTTTAGCTGCTGCTTAAGGTATTTATGTCTCTTCTTTCCTCCTCATACCTGTAAGTGTTCTGTTTTTTTTTTTATTTCATGTCTTTTGCTGTTTTCTTACTCTGAACTCGGTGACACCAGGCTGCAAACCCACTGACAAGCTTGTTTTTTTTTTTTTTATTATTATTATTATTCTGTGCAGTCTCTCTCAAAGGCTGACAGATGCTTACCTCACATACACCTCTGCTTTTAGAGATAACATAATCACAGGGTGCATACACCTTGGACCACCTACAGTAGATCCATGTGCCCAGTCAACCGTAGGGAAGGTTTGGGAGTCAATTAGGAGTCAGTTGCTGTGTAATTGGGTGAGATATTAGCTTTACTGTCAGTAAATTAAAAACTGATCTTGAGGAACGGCCATGAAAGCGAGGAATCCTGGTATCTTCCCAAAGCTGCCTCTCTGTGAAAGCATTGTAGCAGGTGGAAGCTAATGAGCAGTTCCTTTAAACCTCCCTAAAAAAAAAAGAACATCTGGTCGGACTTGCACACACTCGTGCGGAAACTCGATCGAGACGCAAACAGACTTAAACTTTGATCAACCCATACCAACAGATGCTTCCGCTGATCGTTGGAAACAATCGGAAGCAAAGGTTTTTCACTGCGACTGAGAAGCCACACTTTAGAGCAGGTGGGACTTGAGCTGCTGATGGGAACAAAGCGAGAAAACTGTTTTCATGGAGCTATATTTGGAGACAAAACAACATCTGAAAGATTAAGTTCCCCAGTCGTCTTAAGCTTGCTTTTCTGCAGACAGGGTTGCAGGGCAAACATTTTGCATATTAAAGTAAAAACAGATCTGATAAGATTAGAGTAGATTAAATAGAATATCATTTGGGAGTCATTACTGTCTTTTGAAAATACCATGACAAGGACAAAGTTGCCCTCTGAAGTAATTCTACCTGATGTTTGCAGAGATTTAACACAACTGCACTGCCAGTCAGAACTTTGTTTTATAATTTTTCTGTTATCAGTCTTGTTTTTTTAAGTTATAGCTTGCATAGATGTAAGCTGAATGTTCTTTAACTATTTGTAGCTTAGATTTATTTCAAACATAATTAAAAGCATAGACAATACATAGGTAAAGTTTGAGTCACCCTATGCCCTTTTTATAATAGTTACACCTCAGGAGATTGGTTTACATTCAGACAGCAAATAAATCCGACCCACGTCTGACTTTTTCATTGCATACCGAACAATTCCAATCTTTTCACTACCCCACCAAATATTAGAATTGGAGTAAATCTCTATCAACAGGTCTAAGATGTAGAAAAAGTTGTGATAAACAATTGGCCACATAAATCATCATAATTTTGAGATGTTGATGTCTATCAGTTTCAAGACTAGATGAAATGCAAGGAGAAACTGCATTAGATTTTCAGTTATTGTCACTTTACCACTAAAAATGATCAGGCGGGACAGAGGGACAGATCCAGTGAACATTTGTCTTATTTAGGCTAACTTTTCCTTTGCTTCATCTCCTCCAGGGTGCTGCCTTAAAGTACATCCCTACCATCGTCAATGACGTCAAGCTGGTCTTTGACCCCAAAGAACTCAGGTAATTTCACTTGTTTTGCATGATTTTCACTGAGAATATAATCGGGTAGATGTTGACCTTTCCTGTCTTACGGTATATCATATAAATATATTAAGAACTCTTTCTGTATGGATTGCTTTTAGAAATTCAGTTCAGTAAAGATAATTTATTACCAATTTTTGAAGTTTAATACAGTTTTATTAGTTTAGTTTTTGTCTTTAATAGTTGCCGATTCATATCAATAAGTTAGAACATTCTAACATATTTTCCATCTACTAAACTTTTCATTTATACGCCTGGCTTTATGGCTTTCTCTCCTTCTGGATTCAATGACTTGTGAATAACTGCCACTTAGGAGTCGTAGCACAATATTTCTATTTTAAAACGCTTTTTTATTAGTCTTGTACAGTATTCTAGCTTTTTTTTTTTTTAAGTTTTTGTTTTGTTTTTGAAGATGAGCTGAATTAACGATTGACGTATACTGCTTCGTGTAATGAGTTGATAAAGTATATATTTATCTTTTTTAGTTGAATTGGTGAATTCAATAATGTTGTGATTTATTGAGATGGTTTCCATAAATCAAGACTAGCTGTGCTCAGATCTATTTTTTTTTTGTTCTGCCTTGCAGTGCTTTTATTCCACACCTCTACATTCAGCAGCTGTATAGTTATGGCCTCTGCCCAACCACACTCAGGTTCCCTTGGAAACTCACTAGCTGCTCCACTGAAGTGTTCATTTTAGTTAATGCTGCCCACTGTGAATGTCATCAGCCACAGCATAATGGATTCTTTATGAAGTGTCACACTCCTGCGCTCTGATCTGTTCATTTATGACATTAAGTCTGACGAAGTAGAAGATGTAACCTGACAATCTGTTCATCTGGATTACTTAGTGTCAGTTCAGAGGATTTCTAGACTTTTTCAACAAACTGTTTTGGGGGTATAAAATTAAATAAAAATTTAATGCCCTTTTCTCAGGCACTTTTTTTGAAAATCTATTTTTGCATCTGTGAAAAGTTTAAAAGGGATTCTGTACTGTCTTCTGACATTTCTGCTCTGTGTTTCTGCTCTGTGTTTTATGTTTCTTGCTATGTATGAGAAACAGAAAAAGGGTTTTTTTTACATCCTTTTCATCCTGACCCATGTTTTCAAGCGTAAAAGTTTTGACTTTATAAACCCGATTGCACAAATAAGTAAATGACTAATTTATTCAAAGTTTAGGTTGCATAGTTATTTATTAGCAGTGTAATCTCAGACTGAAAAAATTGTAGAACAGTCCAGTCTGCAGTGGCACTGTTGTTGATAATCCTGCTGGTAATGCTCTGTGGAACCCCATTTTTACCAACAGCACTTTTACTTATTCCACTGATTTTTTATTTATTTATTTTTTATTTTTTTTATAGGATTCAGGTGTGAGGACTGACACAGCTATGAGAGAATCTGGATTTTGTATATAATTTTATGTATTTTTTTTCTGTTGATTTGGGTCTGGCTAAACGATCCAACAGAGATCGATTTCAGTTTTTCTGTTAAGCCCACAAGATTATCATCCAAGATTTTGATGCATTTCAAAGAGTCCCTAATACTTTGCCTAAAATTGCTTCCAGGTATTTTGGAGGAAAGACAGGACCAGCAAAAACAAAATAAGCTGCTGCTTGGTGTCCCACAGATTGCTAGACTTTATGACAGAGCATAAAATAAAATAACAAAATGCTTGTCTTGGTTTATTGAAAATGTGACTGCTATTAAGTTTGATTTGATCGTTTTTGAATTGGTCACATTTTTTCACACTGGTTAAAATTTTAATTCTGGATTCAAAAGATTTGGCGTTTACTTTAGAAAAATGAAAATTATCATCTTCATTGTTAGATATTTCTGATGACATTGTTACAATCTGATGCTTTAAGTTTTTTTTGTTTTTTTGTCAGATCAAGCTGGGTCCTTTTCCAGTCTGGTGTCCAGTGGCTAAAAGAAGTGGTTATGTTTATACCACAGAGAAACAGAAAGTCATAAATTACTCATTACAAGAAAATCTAAAAGTGTAAAATATAAATAAAAAATACTTTTATGCCAAAACATTCCACCCTGCCCCTTTTCTCCCTTCTGATTAAATGCAGTAAAGTTGTGTAAATTGATATGTTTTTTCAAATTTGTAGTAAAAAAGCTTATAGCTTTCTGTTTAGGGCTGTTTAGAAGAGTTTCTGTTTTCCAGTTTTAAATTGTAAATGTACTAAATTACATTAGGAATGAACAACATTTGCATAAAATCGAACCTTACTGCAGTTTCTGAAAAGAGAGGCTATAAATATGCCAGTGAGGGCTGTTTCGTCATTAATCGTTAAATTAATCATAGAATTGTTTGGAAAAAAGGTTGACACAGCTTGTCTAACTACGCTTGAGGTGACTCCAGAGATCATGCCAAATAATTTAACATTAGAAACCCCGATCCTGTTCAGATGAGTTGTTGTTTTGATTGGAATGGAGAGTCCTTCTGCATGATGGCTCTTTTACTGTTGTTTTCATGTTTCCAAATCTGACAGCTGCCAAATTTTGAGGGTTAATTTTATATTTTTCTTACATTTTATAACCACACTGTGTAAATAACATCTATAGATAGATGTATGTGAAAGTATTTCCTGCACAATAGTTAACACACTGCATCACCTGCTCAGCTGAGAAGTGTACTCTGTCTATGCTCACACAGCTGACTTTTTTTCTGCTTCATTTGTTTCCATTTCTAACCAAACTGTGATTTTTATTCAGTGGATATTTATGCAAGTGCAGAAGCTACCAGAAGGGGAAAAAACCCTTTGATTTTAGCTGTTATTGTAATAAATTTGATACATATGAACCGTTAACCTGGCTCTAAATCACAGGCTTGAAGCTTTGGTGGCTGAGCAAAGGTGGCTTTAGCTGCTCCCGTTAGCGAAAAGCTTGCCAAGAGTCTTAGCTGGAGGCAGTCGAACCAGAGCCTTGGGGGTGGAGAGTGTTTCATGCAATGCCAGAACATTTTCTCTCTTGCTTTTGTCCAGGCCAGTCATAAGCATGTTGCCTGCCTCAGAAAACAATGATGTATAAGAGTTAAGTGAAAACAGCAGGGAAGTTTTAATATTGTGAATTTCAAAAAGTTTATTCCTAATACTTGATCCTAACAAATCTGAGTATGTTACAGTCAGTGGGACATGTTTCTTGTGTAATAAATATATCAATATATCTAGAATATAACATGATGGCGGAGTGACCTAGCAATTTTATGTAGTTTTACACCATTTATTTGTAGTCAAATTATCTAGCCATTTCTGTTGCTTTCTGGGTGATTCCTCGTGTCTGGAGGCAGTCAGCCAGCTCAGATGCCTGATAAATTTGACCTTTTCTCTGTTTGTCTCTGTCTACACAGCAAGCTGTTCACAGAGTTCATCCTGAAGGTCCCTCAGGGTCGCCTGGTGAAACAGAAGCTCGACTGTCTGATTGACATCGTCCACAGCGATCTCTTTACTCATCACGGTGAGAGCGCAGCTGCACAAAAACGCTTATATAAACTGTACTGCCAGTTTCTCAGCGCTTGCAGTTTCACTCACAGCTCAGTAATTTAGGCAATCACACACACCACCTGCCTCCACCAGGCAGCCCTGTGTGAGGCTTCTACAAAGGTCATTGGTGAGGCAGGGTGGAAATTCTTCATGTTTATTGTAGGAGGTGGACAAGTCATCTGTAATAATCTTCTGCACTTGCTTGCTTCTTAAAATAAGGATTAGTATCAATGCTGTCAAAATGTTCCTCCTATGTTTTATGGTGTTTTGAAGATATTTTTCTTCATATTTATTACTTTTTTCCTGTCATTTGTCGACAAAATGTGCCTACAAGCAATATTTTATTTTTTTTAATTATTCTTTTATTTATCTGAGGTTTTTATATCCATGTCCATCTTTTTGTGACAATCATGGTCCTTAATTAGACATTCGGCTGGTCCAAATGTCAGTATATGTTCATTCTTGAAAACTCGAGATGGAGAAAAGGGATGGACAAATGACTAGATGGATGGAAAAAAGATTGGATGAATAGATGGAAAAAGAGTTAGATGGATGGACGAATGGACAAACGACAACGATAGATGGTAAAATGAATGGATTGATTGGAAAAAAATGATGAATGGGTATTTGGATCTGTGTGTAGACTGATACAGCCTGGTGGACAGGTAAATGTATGGACGGTTGACAGATGAGTAACGTTTCTGCCATTTAACCCATCAGTTCTTGAACTCTTCCACTTGAGGCAAAGACTGACCCCTGACCTCAAGAAAGCACTCCATCTTCTTATGTTTGAGAACCCTGCCTTCCAACATAAAGAGACCTACAATTTTTCTTTGGGTGCATGTTTTAAACACAACCAGAATGTGGCAAGATCATTTTCATAAATATTATACTTTTTGTTCATTTTAGATTTTTGTTTGGGCTAACGTCTAAATTCTATCTCAAATTTGATTAACCGTGCAGCCCCGTGGGGAGGCCAGTTAAACTCTGCCTTATTTATCAGCATGAGGTGTTTAGATCAGTATGAACGTAGGCAGTGAGCTGTGAACGGTTGCATGAACAAGGTGTAATTGGAAGTTTGTCCTGTTCAGTAATGTCTGATATCGAACACAACACAGTGTAAATGTCACCGCTTTCAGCGTAATGATCCAATGCTTTCATACTTTTCAAACATAAAAGGTTCCAGTTGGTGGCTGGGTCAGTTTAACGCGCCGATATTGAAGGGCAGCGCTCAGTGCGCAGCCCTCTGGTCATTACTGTTGATCTATTTCTATAACTGTGGACGGGTGAACCTCCCCCACTGATGCTTGTGAATGGAGTGCTAATCAGCAGGATGGGTATTTGCTGTGATGCAGATGCGGACTATCTTCCCTCTGATCTCTCAGTGACTTCAAGGTAGAGAGTCGTGCCTTTGTTAGGAATGCTTATTTACAGAAGCAATGTTGAAGATGGCCAATTGCCAAAGAAATGTCTCCTCTACATTACTGTCAAGTTGAGCTCCATTTTGGAGCTGTTTTATTCAAGATTAAATCAAATGCAGATGGTAAATGAAGCAGGCAGACTGGTTTTGGGTGGTCTGATCTGTTCTGAGGGTCTGAGCAGCCTGATCTACAGGTGGTCTCTAAAACGCACTTTTGCCAGTCATGCCCAAAATCAAATGCCTCGGATGTTTGTAGTGAATTAATGCTGAACAGTTAAGCTAGGTGGTATGTGTTTCACCACAGAGCTCTTTAGCAGTTTCTGCACTCTAAATTAATGCACTTTGCATGTGTTCGCAAATAGAAAAGGCTTCCTTTTCCTTAAAAACATGTAAAATCTTCCATATTTTACACCTTGCCAGTGGAAAATAAAGTAATATCTCTTCCTAAGTGGAACAAGCTTAAAATTTTATTTCATTTATGTTTTCACATAAATGTGAAATCTGATTTTCACATAAATGTGAAAACATGTAAAGAGCTTTTCAGAAAAAAATATGTTTTTAGATTGACTCAATTCAGGGGGAATAAAAAAATAAAAAAAGAATTTAACAGCAGAAGCTAAAATCTTGTTTGCACTGAATATTTAATGTGAAAAATTAATGTTTAGTTCCACTGCCTAATTTGCATGGTGACAATAAGCAATTTGCTTCTTGTTTAGTTATTTCACCTTTAGTGTTTCTAGTATTTTATTCTAATTTATATATCATCCTGATTTTCTTATATGCAAAATTTTGCTTTCTATTACCATAAAAGTAAATAATCTCCTCCAACTGGACACAGAGTCATCTGTCTCCATTTTGTTCCATCCTCTGGATCCTCTACCTTCACAAGTAACTTCATGTCCTCCTTCATCACATCCTAAAATCTTCCTTTTGGTCTTCCTGTAAGGCTCCTTCCAACTGGCTCCAACCTCAGCATTCTTCTGCTGATATAATCATTGTCTCTCCTCTGAACATGTGCAAACCACCTTCGTGTGGCCTCTCTTACTTTATCTCAAAAACATGTAACATGATCTTGTTTTCTGATGTACTCATTCCTGATTCTGTTAATCCTTGTCTCAAAGAGAACCTCAACATCTTGAGCTCAGCAAATTCCAGTTCTACTTCCTCATTGGCACTATGTCTAAACCAGGGGTGTCCACATCCAGTCCTCGAGGGCCAATGTCCTGCAACTTTTAGATGTGCCTCTGCTGCAGCACACCTGAATTAAATAATTAGGTCATTAGCAAGGCTCTGGAGAACTGATCTACAAAAGGAGGAGGTAATTAAGCCATTTCATTCCTGTGTTTTGTACTTGTGGCACATCAAAAAACTGCAGGACAGCGGCCCTGGAGGACTGGAGTTTGACACCCCTGCTCTAAACCATACATCAGTGGTCTCACTTCTGCCTTGTACACCTTTCCTTTCATTTTGCTTATATTTTTTAGTCACACATTACACTTGATACTTTCCCATCTGTTTCACCTGCCAGCACACACTTCTTTACTTCTCTTCCACACTCTGTTTTCTCACAGCATTGATTCTAAGTCATTAAAGTCCTGTACATTCTTTACTTCTACTCCCTGTAACATAACTACTCCACTTCTCTTCCCATCATTTACAAATGTTTATGTTGTCTTGCTGTGGCTAATCTTCACTCCTCTCTTTTCCGGTTCTAGCATTTCCTCCATTCGTGCTTTGGTCTTCTTGCAGATCAGTGTCATCTGCAAGCATCTCTATGGAGACTTCTGTCTGCCTATCCATCACCAAATCAATGATGTAATCCCACATCCACCTTGAACTCCTGTCTATCCTACAGCACACCTCACTGCTGTCTGACAGCACTCATCTAACTCCTGCACCACTCTAGCATACTTCAGCCATCCCAGGACTTCTCATATAATCATATAACTCTGCATTAATCTAAATATACAAAGGCACAATGCATCTCCCTGTTAGATTTGATGTGAAGCTATTTTCAGCAAACTTAGCAGAAGTAAATATTTTAAATGAATCATTGTGTATAATACATCTATAAACAGGAGCCTTTCTTTTAAAACTAGTCTAGCCAATTAGCCAGTTAGATATTATCAAATTGTTTGACATACAACTTGTATGTGGCTGTGTTTCTATGTGTATGAAATTTGCCACCAGATTTTTTTTTTATTTTATTTTATTTTTTACAGTTTCTTGGAACGAGAATGAGCCATAGAAACTGTATTAACGTGCCTTAAACCAGATTTGTCTTTTTATGTTATTATTAGTATTGTGCCTATATAGGTCATAAACACTGTAATTTGTGCATTCATTGTATTTAGCCTGCGCCATGCAACTATCTTGGTATTGTATTCAGCAACAACCCAACATATCTCAGGGCAGATATGGTTGTCACTCGGTGTCAAGGCTCCACGTCGAATGACAAGACCAACTCTGTAATATCCAGAACATCTCTATTCCACTGAGGAAAAATAACACCATTTATTCAAATAATTGCAATGTAGAGCAGATCAGTTCTGCAATTAGATTCTATAGAAAAGTGACAGCAAAGGGTGGGAGCACAAATGCAGGGTTTCTGAAGGTGTTGCACAGAAGTTGCTTGTCATGTTACTTTAAATGAATTACCATTAAATGAATTAATTTTGAGGCATTTGTTCAACTTCAATGCAGTAATCATGTGTGTGCCTTCTCCTAATAATTGTAATCTATAATGAAATTATTCCTACAATAAGCTTGTGCAGAAGAACAATAAACAATATAATTTCTTACCGCTTTGATGTCTGTAAACCTTATGTTTTCTTTTACTGAAATTATTTTCAGCATGTCCTATGTGGCTCATGATTAATACCTTAAATGTAGATAATCAGTATGAATTAAGTAGATATATTCCCAGCCATAAAATAGAATATTTTACGAATATATGTATGTACCTTCTGAAGGCTTTCATCATTTGTCTCCAAAGAAGCATTGCAATATGGTTCATTTTAAATACACTAAAAGGATGTACAACATTGTCTGATTTTATGTTTATTACATCTGTGTGCTTTTCAAGATGAGATCTTCCATGGTTCATTCCCACCATTGTGTTCCTCAGCCTGCATTTTATTATTTGGCCTCTTATGCTACTTAAGCTTGAAACGATTTACATGCTGGTGTATTTTTGAGTGCTAAGGCTCAAATTTTCATTTATTTTTGTTGAACCAGGGCTCTAGAGGATGAGGAATTATAGTCACACATCCTACCTAAGTTCTAGGACATGGGAATAAGAAAAATAATCTGATCAGTCATTTGAGGAGAAAAACAAAGGTCTCTGACACTGAAAGTCTTGCTATGGTTGATTTGGTAAGACTTGTTGATTTCTCATAAAATTGTAGATATCTGTCTGGCTCGTTGTATCTGATTGTCAGCACTTTAGCTGTTGACTGCAGTTGTGTATTAAATGTCTGTTTGAGGGAATGAGGAAAGGAATTTGAAGTCTCATTGGCACTTTTCCTTTACATATAACAGAAATATTGATTCAGCCTGACAAGAGTCTTTTTTAGATGGTTTTACACTGCTGACAGCAAATGGTTGACATCAAACTGACAGCCAATTGATTTTCTGTCTTAATGACTGATGCCATTAGTCTGTGCTGTAACTTGGAGTGTAATTAAAAGCAGTAATAATTTGCTGCTGTTTCAAAAGTTTAGCTGCTATATTTCAAGAAAGTTTCAGATGTTTTAATGAAATAATTAATTGCCTTGCGTGCTTTAATTTAACCCTCTGAGATCAGTGAGTCATTACTAAACTGTGTGCGTCTGCAGCGGCGATGTCGAAAGCATATGCCGCACTGCTTCAAGTGATCCATCATCTGGTTCGTGTGTTAACCGGCGTGGTGAACGTGTGTATTCGTTACTGTTGCTACAGATTGCCGTGAGATCCTCCTACCACTGATGACAGAACAGCTGAAGTCCCACCTGGAAAAGCAGGAGGAGCCGAAGGCTTGCTGCCAGCTGCTCAGTGACATCATGGAGGTGCTTTACAGGAAGGACGTGGTGAGAAACACAACACACATGCATGACGTGCACCAGAGGTGATTAAATATCAGAGTGCACTGTATTTAGGATTGTGTTTCCATTATCTTTGTACAATTTCACCACAGCATTATGCTGCCACAGTCATGTTCTACCACACACTGGGCTTTACATCTTGGCCATAAAATTCAGTGCAATGTTTTCCAATATTATCCCAAGATTGTCTAATATTGTAGAGCCCTAGTCTTTATTCCTAAAGGGAGAGTATTTTCTAAAATCAATGTTAGAATATTATTCTCTCATCAAAAACATACTGGGAGCGTTGCCTTGATTCTTTCATGCATGTTGGGGGGTCATCCTTTAAATCCTCGAATTGCCTGTGGCAATCATTTTGTCAGTTGCCTTAACACTTGCTCTCCCAAAGTGTCACCTCTTTCCACAAAACTCTTCCTCTTACACAACACCCCTCCACTGCCCCTTCCTCACTCGGCTCCTTCAGACTAGCAGCAGCAGTAATTACCAAACATCAAATGGAGCTGAGTTTATCATCCAAGCTATTTTTCAATCGAATGCTTCTAAGAATGTTTGTAACCGGCATAATGGAAATGTATTGTTGCAATGATATGTATTGTTGCAATGATGTGCTGAAGGTAGAGTGTTGGAAAGAACAGAAACTTCTGAAGGAGACAGTGGCCAAGTTATCAAATTGCAAAGTCAAATTTCTTTTGACAACTGAAGGTAATAGTTACTTGGTTGTGCTATAAAAAGTCATACAATGTGCCTTTACTATTCATATTACTATGATTGCTGCTTGAATGGTTGTTGATGTGCTCTAAATTATTTCTCGGATATAATGGTGGGAAACATTAACACTACAAATGGCTAATGAAACAACACAATAAGTTCTGCTTTGTCTCCTGGTACTGTAGCACCAGAGAACCTTAAAGTAAGTATTAAATAGTAATGCAGTTTGTTAAAAACAATTTGCATTTAAAAGTTCCTGGACCACAAAGTGTTGCTTTCCAATTGACAGCTTTATACATTGATATTAATACCACATAAATGGCTTCATTTGATAAATTTCTAAATTGCTTCCTTCGTTCCTATTGATGAACTACCAAATTAATAATGGATTTTTACACAAATCTTCTCCTATCCCTCATACTCAGACTCCTGCCCTGGATCTTGCATGCTTGAATAGTTGGATCCACACACACACACAAACAAATACTCAGCTGCTGTGTGAATGTGTTTGATCGTTTTCCATGCCCCGACTCCTGATGTCCTCCCCTAGGCCCTCTCAGACTCTCGTCATTGATCACCACAGTCCACCCTCCCACACTACACTTTGCTGGGATTATCTGCCTCTCCCACTCTCCTTTTAAACTCCCTCTCCTACTCTACAACAAATATCAGCTTCCTCTCAGAGTCTTACTTTCTCTTTCATATCTGTCTGGTGCATCAATAAAGCCAAAGATTTCCCAGACTTACAAACACAGATAGGAAAAAAAAAAGAACTGGGGGCTATCTTAAGACTGGATCACAAACCCTGTGGGAGTACCAGCAGATCCTCCAACCACATTTGTTGTGGTTGGTTGAGATCTGTCTTTGATATCAGTTACTCTGAGATGGACTGAGAAAGTAAAACTATCAGCAACTAGACTGTTGCAGCCAGTGTAACAATAACTGGACAAAAAAGGCACCAAAGCATATAAGTATATTTCTGTTTACTTAAATTTTCCATTTAGCAGAATAAAAAAAAAACATATATCCCATTATCTACAATTGAATCAAACACTTTTCGTTTATTGCAACTTTACCATGTTGCAGTAAAGTTGACCTCATTTCCCAACTGAAAGGCTGCGTAAGAGTCCTACTTTCTGAAAAATGTAAGTAAAACTTTCTTATTTGACAGGTAGCACATTCAGTGGCTGCTTTATATAACTTTGTGAATGTGTAAAGCTTTATATATCTCAACAAGAGACTTGGGGTGCAGTCACACCAGACCTGTTTAGTCTGGTTTAATTAAACTCTAGATTGTTTTCCTAGAAAGAAGCATGAGGAGCTGAAGGCTTGCTGCCAACTGCTCAGTGGACATTCATAGTGGTTCAGTTTTTGCGAAGGTGTTACTTCGACACTCACTCAGGATACATACACATATGATCTCAAATTTCTTTGCACTGAAAAAGTTGCATAAATCCAAACTTGGAATTTTTTTATAAATCAGAAATCAGCAAATCTGAAAGGCAAGACGTCCAACATAACACTGCTGCATTCAGGATTAATGGAACCTCTATATGGATCTCCTGCTCTATGCTATGCGCCACCCTTGAAACGTCTAGCTAAATGTATTATTTACTACTTGATATTGATCTGAGTTTCATAGAATTTATCACTAGAAATACAGTTTAAAATTATGCTACTCCTTCTAAAAAATATTTATGTAAAGCTTCATACCCATTTTTCAAGATTTCTTTCCTGTCAGCTTTGGTTCCCTCCTCAGAAAGGTACAATGAGTAATAAAAAGAAAAACATGCCAGAACTGCCTCAGACAGATAAATGGGATAATGCAAAAATAAAACGAAAAGTGCATCAGGCAAAGGTTTCTCTAGCCCACAAGGGATTTTTGACTCTTACCCTTTATATTTATTTATGCCATAATCTATTTAGGCTGCATTCTATTTCCAACTATGTAGAAATTCAAGAAATACTGTACTTGTTTTCAAACTTTTGTCAGTGATAGCAGAACAAAAGTCATTATTGTATTATTATGTCCGCATAATAATCCAACACCTGTATCATTATTGTATTATCATTGTATTAATATGTCTGCATAATAATACAGACATATTAAAAGCTAATGAATTTTAGCTTTTTATATTATTTTATCCTTTTCCTCTGCTGTGATGTCTCTATTCTGATGGAAATTCCATTGTATTCTCTGCAGGGTCCCACCCAGTGGCATGTTCAAGTTATCATGGAGAAGCTGCTGAGGACAATAAACAGGACAGTCATCTCCATGGGCCGGGATTCTCCTCACATCGTAAGTTTGTCAGAAACTGATAGCATCAGCAGGACAGTCCCATCTCAATGTCTTCTTGTTTATTTTTTTAGGTTCATGCAAAAAGAGACACATACATGTACATAAATATCCACTATCAGCTCTTATGTCTGTGTACTACAGACTGAAACTCCATAAAGCCCAGAATTGCTTCAGTCTGACACTGTCCACCTCTGCACATCCCTTTCACATTCCTTCTTCACAAAAATGACTCGTATCTTTCTCTAGACACGACTATATCTGAGTGTGTGTTTTGCCTGAGCTGTTGTTTTTTTAAAGTATGGCTTCCTTGTCTAAGTGTCTGATCCTCTTATTAGTGCACATCTAATGTTGCGCTCTGTAATCTAATTACTGTATCCCTCTGTTATCCCCGTGAGCATCCTTCTTACAGCTCCTCTCCGTCAGAGCTTCATAGTGGTTAATACACTTATCAGTCTGCCTTTGTAGATTCCACTTGTTCGTCAGCCCCGAGATTCAACCTCCGATATTGTTGGGTTTGCTTGTTTTGCATCATATAGATGCTTATCTTCTCTCTTTAGGTTATAGTTTGGTAGTTAACATTTTTATATGCCTTTTGTGTTTTTGAGATTTTGCATTGGCAATCCAGTAACTTTATTCATTATATGAATAAAGTTACATGTAATGATTCTTTTAGTTATCTGAGTCTATCTGGAGACAGAGGAGCTGTTAATTTGAGCTCTGGTTGAACAAACAGCCGAAGGTCAGCAACTTTTTTTGGGGTGTTTTAACTCAGCTTGAAATTAGAACAGAACAACCAGTGAAACGTCTTTCACTGACTGATGATTGCACTACCACAGATTCTGATCAAGTTTGGGGAATTACTTCCTGTTTTGGGGTAAAGATGAATTTTAAAAATTGTGATAATGATTTGTTTTCAAGACTTTCTGCCCCTTTATTTATCTATCAATACACATTAAGAATAAATCCATTTACCCATAGTTAATCAATCTGTTCCTCCATCCATCCATTTGTTCATCCATCAACCATTTATAAACTGATAGTGAGTTTTTGTGTTTTAGAGCTCCATCTTTGTGAAATGCAAAAACTGCATAGTTTTCAATGGGTCTTTTTGTCAGTTGTCACTGGAGTCATCCTGTTTGTTATATTGCTGTCCTGTTAACGTCAGCGGCCTCATTTTTCGTCTGTTCTCCTCCAACTCATTTCTTCCCAGGTTGCTCACATTTTAAAGGGTCCATAGCTGTTCATTCTTTCCATCTTTCAAACTGTCTAATGGCTTACCCAGCTGTGCGTCCAGCTAATTTTGTAGATTGGAAACCCTTTGTAGAGTAACAGATTGCATATGTGCAATGTGCTGAATAATGTGAAGCTAATGAAGCAGTGAGTTCAGCTTAGACTGCCCTCTTGTCCATTTGTGTTTTCCTCGCTGGAGATTTAAGATTCCTGAGTTTCCAGGCTATTCATGGCTGTGTAGAAGATGGAATGCTTTTCTAGTCCTGTTTGGCTCATATTTAAAAAGTTTAGAAACTGGAATTTTGGAAAAAGGCTTAATCCTCTGCTGTTATTTCTCTTTGCAGTTGGTTTGTTTTGATCTTGTATTCCAGATATGGAACTCTCCTTCCATTTTGTCTAATAGGCTGTCAAGATGAGGGAAGTTTTCTCTGCTGTGTTACTGCAGTGTATCTATTTCGGAGTTCCTCCCCCCTGTGGTGGAGGTGAAAGAGTTTTGCCTGCTTCCAGTGACTGTCGTTATTTGGCACCGCCAGAGACCAGCGTCTTTTTTTTTTTCAGTTAATAAAACCATGAGTATCTGACGTTCTGTTGCCCCTAATGAAACGATCTGCTCTGTATACAAATGCTGCTGCCCTCTGACTCCGTTCTTACTTTGTCTCTTCTGACCCCTGTCTTTCGTCAGCTGATTTCTCGTTTTCTGACTGGTCATTGCACTTGACTGCGTTGACATTTCTAAGTATCTGAATGGCATTTTGCATCAGTGTGCAGAATCCTTTTATGCGATGCGGAACTAGAGGTCACATCAATGTCTGTAGTTTACATAATAAAATGAAATTAAGTCTGTAAATCATGACCTGATGATCAATGAGATTAGCTTGAATTTTTATGAGCTTTGGGAGAGTCTTCCCATCAATGTTGCAGTTGCTGCATTTGGATGGTGCTACCTCGTCTGCAGGCAGTGCTGCTGCTGCTGCAGCTACTGCCGACCTTGTTCGTCTGAGTGGCAGCCTCTTACATTTAGATTTATGCATTAACTTTCTACTCTCCCCCCGCTGTGGTGGGCGCAGAATGTTGATGAGAGTGATCGCAGCAACGACTTTGTGGGGTGGTGCTGGTTTTGCTGTGCATTGTCCCTGCAGAGCTATGCCTGTTAGCGACTTAGACACAGCACCGTCATACGTTTGATTCATTGGACATCCTAGTGGGGCCTGCCTTTTGTATTCACGTCCACCCTCGCAAGTGGCTTTGAAACGAGCCTCTTTGAATAAATTTACATGAGGATAATAGGAGAAACGTGTTGCCAGGTCCTTCAGAAATCCCCAAGTTTTACCTTTATGTTCTTGAATAACATTTTCCTTTGCTGTAGGGATGGAGTGAAGCCACAAAAAAAGCAATCTGTGTCTTCTGTCTTCCTGGCTGCTTAATAAGTAACACACTAAACCTAACTATTAGGGGGGAATTGCCAGTGGTGAAATTGCTTGTCAACATCTGTTAAATTCTAATAAAAAACAGTAGCATTATAAATTGAGCTTTGGATTTCACAGAATCACAGTGGACTACAACTCAGATGGAGTAGAATATACCAGTCATCAGTGATGCATTGTACAATTATAATTAAAACACTTCAAGTCATAAAACGATGAATTTTAAATGTTAGATTTCACAAAAACACACAAAAACTAAAGTTTTAAGCTGAAACAAACAGAAAAGAACAAATGTATTATGTTTTCATAAGCTTGAGTAGTGGCACAGTTAGCACTGCTGCTGTGGCAAGAATGCCCTGGGTTTCAGTGCCAGCCTGGGGTTTTCTTGCATATTCTCCACATGTATGGGCTCTCTGCTTCCTCCCACAGTCCTGAAATATCTTTGTGGCACTAATTGGGGCTAATTGGCTTATTTAAGTTGCACTTAGTCCTAAATGTACATGTGCATCATTGTCTGACCTTTACTTCTCTGTTTTCCTGTGATGAACTGAATATGACTAGTGCAAGTGAGATTCAGAGCAAATATGAGGCTTTCAAAGTTAATGGTTGAGCCAAGTTTGACTCGACAATGGTCCACCCTCAATGACGGATATCAATGTGGATGCAAACAAGTGCTGACAAGGATGAGAGTCATCTTAAATATTTAAGGTGGCCCAACTCTACTTTGAAGCTTTTTCATCTGATTTATTGCAAAACGTTTACCATCATGTTGTAATTAGTGTCTTACATTGCATCAGTTGGCCCTTCATAAGTTTGTGTGCTTGGTAGGGGTGGTAGGATTTTTGATCTTGTCAGAAAGTTATAAAAATTAATTGCTTCAATGTTTTTTGCAGCAAATTATCTGGAATCTTCACTGTGTTCTTGACATATGGCTTTATTTTTTCCCGCAGCTGTGTTATATAACACAGCAGCTGTGATAACCTTCTGCAGGTTATCACAGAATTTTATTTATTTATTTGTATGTATGTATGTACTTTTATTCTTGAAGTACAAACAAGAATAAAACAAAAAAAGATTCAAATAATTCTACTTGGAGCAATTTAGCTATACTTGGCAAAACTGTCTTCACATCAGTTCGTTTAATGTCTCTGAATAACGTTTATGGAATGTAGAATCAGTTTTATCCACCTAAAAAATGTACTTGCATACAAAAAGAAAACAAATTGAAAAACCGACTGTTGTATTTTGTTTTATACAAGAAAAAATGTCAAATGAATTTATTTTTGTAACAACATCTGGCCGTCTGGTTTATGTATTTTTATTGCAAAATTCAGGAACATAGATTGAGATGTTGATTGTCAAACAAGTGTTTCTCTTATTTAGCAACAGTGACGCATACCATGCGTATGGACTGCTGCACTCCCGTGGAGTTCTCCTAGAGGTTTCCCTGCAGTGTGCAGAACTGCAGGGAAAGAACCCTGTGTTATTGATTGACAGTACCGGGTGGACTGGCTATAGGAGCTGGTGTTTTTTCTTCTCTGCTGCATGCTCTCTGGATAAACAGCGTTCTGCAAAGCATCTGTTTCATTAAGCCTGGTCGGATCAGGATACTCCTCCTGTTTCAATTTCGTTTTGTTCCTCTTTGTCTTTTATGAGTTTACGTCTGTTTCTGTCCACTTCTTGCGTCTTTCTGCCGGTGCGCGCTCCCTCTCCGCCTCCCTCCTCCTCCGTCTCTCTCCTGCTGGCCAGACTGCTGCAGAGCTCACAGAAAAGAAGCATAGTGAGATATGGCGATGCATCATAATGCCTCAAACACCTTGTTATCACTCACTGGACCTCTTTTTCCTGATTCTCAACCACACGTTTGAGAAATGAAACCTTTCTGAGAGATCTCTGTGAAACCAGCTGACACTGTTAAACCACTAAGGACAATGTGTAAAAGACAGTAAGATGTCATGCTTGTACTACTGTGCTTTATACCAGCACTTAAAGGAACAGCCCCATGGTGACACTCTTACTGTGACTCAGAGGAGGAGTGTTGCCCTCCAGTCAAACTACCTAGCACATCTACACAAGGATCTCTCTGCCTCACTGCGTCTCTGGGGCATTTGTTCAGGGCTTTGTCCTCTGCTTGTCTCTGGTTCTAGTTGCACTTTGTTTCTGGTCCAACCGCATTACGGTTTTGATGTCCTCAAACATGCTCCAAGGCAGACACAAGCGCTGCACTGCTCATCCCTTCTGTTGTATTCCACTCTCGTTTCTTTGCCACCGCGCCACATCAAAGACACAGCAGAATTCCCAACCTAATCTTCGGCAGGTTATCACATAGAAAATCTTTTTTTTCGT